CCGGCCACGTCACCTAGACTCCAGATGTTGCAAAACCATCTGCCCCAGTGATTATGCGCATTTGACCAGGCAGGAGGGGAGCATCATGAGCATCAGCTGGGTACATTTCCAGCCACATGGCCCACTAGACTCCAGATGTTCCATCTGCGCCAGTGATTGCGCCCATTTTACCAGGCAGGAGGGGAGCATCATGAGCATCAGCTGGGTACATTTCCTACCACATGGCCCCCCTAGACGTTGCAAAAGCATCTGCCCCAGTGATTTTAGCAGGGGGGGAGCATCTTGAGCATCAGCTGGGTGCCACATGGCCCCCCTAGACTCCAGATGTTGCAAAACCATCTGCCCCAGTGATGATGGCGCGCGTTTGACGAGGCAGGAGGGGAGCATCATGAGCATCAGCTGGGTACATTTCCGGCCACATGGCCCCCCTAGACTCCAGATGTTGCAAAACCATCTGCCCCAGTGATTGCGCGCATGTTACCAGGCAGGAGGGGAGCATCATGAGCATCAGCTGGGTACATTTCCGCTCACATGGCCCCCCTAGACTCCAGATGTTGCAAAACCATCTGCCCCAGTGATTGCGCGCATGTTACCAGGCAGGAGGGGAGCATCATGAGCATCAGCTGGGTACATGTCCGCTCACAAGGCCCCCCTAGACTCCAGATCTTGTAAAACCATCTGCCACAGTGATTGCGCCCATTTTACCAGGCAGGTGGGGAGCATCATGAGCATCAGCTGGATACATTTCCGGCCACATGGCCCCCTAGACTCCAGATGTTGCAAAAAACATCTGCCCCAGTGATTGCGCGCATTTTACCAGGCAGGAGGGGAGCATCATGAGCATCAGCTGGGTACTTTTCTGGCCACATGGCCCCCGTAGACTCCAGATGTTGCAAAACCATCTGCCCCAGTGATTTCGCGCATTTTACCAGGCAGGAGGGGAGCATCATGAGCATCAGCTGGGTACATTTCCAGCCACACCCACTAGACTCCAGATGTTCCATCTGCGCCAGTGATTGCGCCCATTTTACCAGGCAGGAGGGGAGCATCATCAGCAGGGTCCATTTCTGACCACATGGCCCCCTAGACTCCAGATGTTGCAAAACCATCTGCCCCAGTGATTGTGCACATTTGACCAGGCAGGAGGGGAGCATCAGTACATTTCCGGCTACATGGCCCCCCTAGACTCCAGATGTTGCAAAACCATCTGCCCCAGTGAATACGCGCATTTTACCAGGCAGGAGGGGAGCATCATGAGCATCAGCTGGGTACATTTCCGGCCACATCACCTAGACTCCAGATGTTGCAAAAGCATCTGCCCCAGTGATTGCGCACATTTGACCAGGCAGGAGGGGAGCATCATGAGCATCAGCTAGGTACATTTCCGGCCACATGGCCCCCCTAGACTCCAGATGTTGCAAAACCATCTGCCCCAGTGAATACGCGCATTTTACCAGGCAGGAGGGGAGCATCATGAGCATCAGCTGGGTACATTTCCGGCCACGTCACCTAGACTCCAGATGTTGCAAAACCATCTGCCCCAGTGATTATGCGCATTTGACCAGGCAGGAGGGGAGCATCATGAGCATCAGCTGGGTACATTTCCAGCCACATGGCCCACTAGACTCCAGATGTTCCATCTGCGCCAGTGATTGCGCCCATTTTACCAGGCAGGAGGGGAGCATCATGAGCATCAGCTGGGTACATTTCCTACCACATGGCCCCCCTAGACGTTGCAAAAGCATCTGCCCCAGTGATTTTAGCAGGGGGGGAGCATCTTGAGCATCAGCTGGGTGCCACATGGCCCCCCTAGACTCCAGATGTTGCAAAACCATCTGCCCCAGTGATGATGGCGCGCGTTTGACGAGGCAGGAGGGGAGCATCATGAGCATCAGCTGGGTACATTTCCGGCCACATGGCCCCCCTAGACTCCAGATGTTGCAAAACCATCTGCCCCAGTGATTGCGCGCATGTTACCAGGCAGGAGGGGAGCATCATGAGCATCAGCTGGGTACATTTCCGCTCACATGGCCCCCCTAGACTCCAGAGGTTGCAAAACCATCTGCCCCAGTGATTGCGCGCATGTTACCAGGCAGGAGGGGAGCATCATGAGCATCAGCTGGGTACATTTCCGCTCACATGGCCCCCCTAGACTCCAGATGTTGCAAAACCATCTGCCCCAGTGATTGCGCCCATTTTACCAGGCAGGAGGGGAGCGTCATGAGCATCAGCTGGGTACATTTCCGGCCACATGGCCCCCTAGACTCCAGATGTTGCAAAACCATCTGCCCCAGTGATTGCTCGCATTTGACGAGGCAGGAAGGGAGCATCATGAGCATCAGCTGGGTACATTTCCGGCCACATGGCCCCCCCAAACTCCAGATGTTGCAAAACCATCTGCCCCAGTGATTGCTCGCATTTGACGAGGCAGGAAGGGAGCATCATGAGCATCAGCTGGGTACATTTCCGGCCACATGGCCCCCCTAGACTCCAGATGTTGCAAAACCATCTGCCCCAGTGATTGCGCGCATGTTACCAGGCAGGAGGGGAGCATCATGAGCATCAGCTGGGTACATTTCCGGCCACATGGCCCCCCTGGACTCCAGATGTTGCAAAACCATCTGCCCAGTGATTGCTCGCGTTTGACGAGGCAGGGAGCATCATGAGCATCAGCTGGGTACATTTCCGGCCACATGGCCCCCCTGGACTCCAGATGTTGCAAAACCATCTGCCCAGTGATTGCTCGCATTTGACGAGGCAGGAGGGGAGCATCATGAGCATCAGCTGGGTACATTTCCGGCCACATGGCCCCCCTAGACTCCAGATGTTGCAAAACCATCTGCCCCAGTGATTGCGCGCATTTGACCAGGCAGGAGGGGAACATCATGAGCATCAGCTGGGTACATTTCCGGCCACATGGCCCCCCTAGACTCCAGATGTTGCAAAACCATCTGCCCCAGTGATTGCGCGCATGTTACCAGGCAGGAGGGGAGCATCATGAGCATCAGCTGGGTACATTTCCGCTCACATGGCCCCCCCAGACTCCAGATGTTGCAAAACCATCTGCCCCAGTGATTGCGCCCATTTTACCAGGCAGGACGGGAGCATCATGAGCATCAGCTGGGTACATTTCCGACCACATGGCCCCCCTAGACTCCAGATGTTGCAAAACCATCTGCCCCAGTGATGGCGCGCATTTTACCAGGCAGGAGGGGAGCATCATGAGCATCAGCTGGGTGCCACATGGCCCCCCTAGACTCCAGATGTTGCAAAACCATCTGCCCCAGTGATTGCGCGCATGTTACCAGGCAGGAGGGGAGCATCATGAGCATCAGCTGGGTACATTTCCGCTCACATGGCCCCCCTAGACTCCAGAGGTTGCAAAACCATCTGCCCCAGGGATTGCGCGCATGTTACCAGGCAGGAGGGGAGCATCATGAGCATCAGCTGGGTACATTTCCGGCCACATGGCCCCCCTAGACTCCAGATGTTGCAAAACCATCTGCCCCAGTGATTGCGCGCATTTTACCAGGCAGGAAGGGAGCATCATGAGCATCAGCTGGGTACATTTCCGGCCACATGGGCCCCCTAGACTCCAGATGTTGCAAAACCATCTGCCCCAGTGATTGCTCGCATTTGACGAGGCAGGAAGGGAGCATCATGAGCATCAGCTGGGTACATTTCCGGCCACATGGCCCCCCCAAACTCCAGATGTTGCAAAACCATCTGCCCCAGTGATTGCTCGCATTTGACGAGGCAGGAGGGGAGCATCATGAGCATCAGCTGGGTACATTTCCGGCCACAGGGCCGTCCTAGACGCCAGATGTTGCAAAACCAACTGCCCAGTGATTGCTGCATTTGACGAGGCAGGAGGGGAGCATCATGAGCATCAGCTGGGTACATTTCCGGCCACATGGCCCCCCTAGACTCCAGATGTTGCAAAACCATCTGCCCAGTGATTGCTCGCATTTGACGAGGCAGGAAGGGAGCATCATGAGCATCAGCTGGGTACATTTCCGGCCACAAGACTCCAGATGTTGCTGCCCCAGTGATTGCTCGCATTTGACGAGGCAGGAGGGGAGCATCATGAGCATCAGCTGGGTACATTTCCGGCCACATGGCCCCCCTAGACTCCAGATGTTGCAAAACCATCTGCCCAGTGATTGCTCGCATTTGACGAGGCAGGAGGGGAGCATCATGAGCATCAGCTGGGTACATTTCCGGCCACATGGCCCCCCTAGACTCCAGATGTTGCAAAACCATCTGCCCCAGTGATTGCTCGCATTTGACGAGGCAGGAGGGGAGCATCATGAGCATCAGCTGGGTACATTTCCGGCCACATGGCCCCCCTAGACTCCAGATGTTGCAAAACCATCTGCCCCAGTGATTGCTCGCATTTGACGAGGCAGGAGGGGAGCATCGTGAGCATCAGCTGGGTACATTTCCGGCCACATGGCCCCGCTAGACTCCACATGTTGCAAAACCATCTGCCCCAGTGATTGCTCGCATTTGACGAGGCAGGAGGGGAGCATCATGAGCATCAGCTGGGTGCATTTCCGACCACATGGCCCCCCTAGACTCCAGATGTTGCAAAACCATCTGCCCCAGTGATTGCTCGCATTTGACGAGGCAGGAGGGGAGCATCATGAGCATCAGCTGGGTACATTTCCGGCCACATGGCCCCCCTAGACTCCAGATGTTGCAAAACCATCTGCCCCAGTGATTGCTCGCGTTTGACGAGGCAGGGAGGGGAGCATCATGAGCATCAGCTGGGTACATTTCCGGCCACATGGCCCCCCTAGACTCCAGATGTTGCAAAACCATCTGCCCAGTGATTGCTCGCATTTGACGAGGCAGGAGGGGAGCATCGCGAGCATCAGCTGGGCACATTTCCGGCCACATGGCCCCCCTAGACTCCAGATGTTGCAAAACCATCTGCCCCAGTGAGTGCGGTCATTTTACCAGGCTGGAGGGGAGCACCCTGCTGCTCAACTTGGGTGTCATTTCTGCAACACCGAGTCACAAGCCACGCTCACCTCTGAGATTGCCAAAATCAGGAACGGCTCGCCCGTCTGGTCGTTGCTCACAGCCGCCCCGGCCCAGCGATCCTGCGCTCAAGAAGGCTTCATGCACGGTACCACACTTGGCGGCGGTGCCTCCGGGGATGAGCTCAAGGCACCCAACTCCACAAAGAAGGCGTTGCTTCCCAAGTTTGGCATTCGGGATGGCAACTGGACCTCTCAAGATTCCCGCAAGGTGATGTTTGCCAGGATTGGTAGCATTGTACCTTGAAAGCAGCAAGCACCCCGCGAGAACCTCCAAGTGCAAGGGGTACGACTCCAGGTAGGAAAGGTCCACCGCATGCCAAGTCACAACATTGGCGACCTGATCTGGTGAGTGACAAACCTCGTAGCCTTGAACATACGCTGCCATCCGTGTTGCAAGCTACGGGCTACGGGCAACTACAGTGGATCTGCAACCCCTGAGTCACACTTATCATTCTTCCGTGACGCTGTCTCACACGGCCAGCCAGGCACAGCCGCTGCCCAGCAGCTGCGAGACAAAGCAGCCGCGACGGGCGGGCCCCAAACATAGCCGCTGGGGGCTACGACCCGCAAGCTGGTCCTAAAAGCGGGTGCGCGAAGCCAAAACGCAAGAAAAATCTCGTGATGAATGGAGGGACTCAGTATGCTCTAGACTCGTGACATACAGACCCTTCTGCCTGCCGCTGCGCGGGCTGACGAAGCGAATCTCGACGGCAGATGTCGCGGCGGTCAGGAGGAAGGGCCTCTCTGTCAAAAACAGAAACATTATACAGTTCGTAGTGCAAACAAATAGCGCACACGGCATTGTAATCGCAGAGGATCGTCTTGCAGGATATACTAAACAGGGTGCAACATTATTCATAGAAAGCGCAGGCTGAAGGTCAGTTGGTTAATTGTACCACCTCACTCCCTTGACGCACAGCCACAACACAGACACAGCCTTCGGTCCGAGAGGGAGATGTTGACCTGATCGGGCGCCCCCCCATTCCTCTCCCGCAACGGTTTGTCCTTCTGACTTGGCTTGTGCGCAGACTGAGCCGAATCCAACCCCCGCCTGCAGCTCCTCGGCTGAAAGCTGCCAGGGCTCTTGGTTGTGGTCGGGGTTGAAGGATGCCCGCGACCTCAACATGCAACTCCACGGCCCAAGGGTTGACAACTTCACTTCAGGTCGCGTCGCGCTGTGTAACTCAAAGTCCAGGCACCCCTCAAGGAGCCTAGGGCTGCGTTCCGTCTGCGTCCATACGTACCACTCCCCCGCCACCAGGCTCGAAGGGCGCACAGACACCTGGAAGCCTGGCGCCATGTCCGCAGAATCGAGTCACAGTTGAGCAAAAACAGGATCAATTCGAATGCATGAGCTGAGCTACCATACAGACGACCGGGGTCTGTCTGCTCTCGGAGAAGAACGTAGGCCTTGGCACGGTTGTCAGTGATGATTTGAGCCCTTCCGTCATCACTTCCATCTGAGCGGCTCGATTCCGTGGCAGATCCATGCCCGGGTCTGCAGTGCAAAGTGGTCGTTCCAGCCCCCAAATGCAGGGCCAAATGCCCGCGATGCAATCTGAGTTTTCCACCTGAAGCGTTGCTCTGTGCTTGTCTCCTGCCCCTGCCGTCAAGGCGAATGCTATCTTAAGCTGCCAGGACACGACTGGCAACGGGCTGATGCCTTCTGCACGAAGGGCCTCAAGCGTTGCAAGGACTTAAGCAGAACTCGGATTGGCAACACGAGACCTGTGCATGGCCATCGGCAGCCTCATGCAGCACCTGAACTGAGCATCCTCGAAAGTCGAAGCTTTTGGGGCCATCGAGGACGAGAGCTGATGCACTCTGCATCGGCCGTAAGCTGACCGTCAGCCAAAAGGTGGCCTTGAGCCCAGCTTGCTCCGACTGTCTCCAGCCGCACAAAAAAAGACACAACAAGAGTCAGACTGGCCAAGAAGCTGCCGTCAGGGACAAGCTTGAAGGCTGCAGGAACACATCACGCATCTCGCCAAGCACGCCGAGATCACCCTGCCTTCATTGTTTCTTGGGAAGTTGGCGGAGATGGGCTTACGACAACCTTGCCTTGTATGATAAGCTCGACATTCGGCCAAGCAACCAGAATGGCCCAGCAAAGGCAGAGGTTTCGAACACCAGTGCTTCGGGACTCGAAACCTCCCAGGCATCACCTGGCCAAAACTTAGTCAAAACTCGAAGAATCACTCCCACCCCATGCTTTAACACCTCCCCCCATCTTTACTCAAACTTTACTTTACTCAACTTTACTCCATGTTTTGTCTCCTGGCCTCGGCTGCGAAGCTCGAGGTGCCAAGGCCTGGTAACTGTGCTGCAAAAGCTGCAGGAAGCAAGAGTCGTTGTTTCCTCTTCTTTGTTGGAACTCACGCATCTGTGGTAGAGCCCATACGGGGGTCAAGTGTAGGAGAGAGCTAGCAGGCAGTGCATTTCTGAATGTCGGCGGTGTTGAGATATGGTTGTTGACATCAAAGCACCAATCACACCGTCTTCAATCAACACGCTCCTGGAGCAAACTTCAGTGCATGGTCGCTGAGGCCGGCACTCTGCTGGACGCGCAGCTGCTGGGTTGCGAAACGTCCTTTGCTTCCGCCCAATTCCGTCAAATAGAAAACCATGTTGGAGAGATGTTCTCCCCACAGGCCCAACCCCGTCTCGGCGGCGCAATGCAGTGCTACGATCAAAGGAAGGTTCAAAGGTGGTGGGGAGCGTTTTCGTTGCAAAGCGAATCAAGCGAAGCAGCATGCACCAGCTTAACCCCCCTCCCCCCCTCCCCTCTCACAAACACCTTGGAACTGCCAAGTATCACCTGAAGAAAGATCTGTTGGCCAGCATAGAAAGCCTCCCACTGCTCGAGGTCCTGGAAGCACTCGCTGGGACGAGTGCCTCGCTGTCTCCAAAGATCTTGGGAGTCTGGCCTTGCTTGCAAGGAGCTGAAGAGGACTGCCAAATCGTTCGAAAGCTCGAGCGCTTCAGGTGCCATGAGCACTTGATCCTGGAAGGTGTCGAGCCCGAGCAGGGTCACTGCGCTGAGGCACTCATAGTCCTGTGGCAGGAGTAGAGAGAGGCCAGCCCCTCCTCGCGTGCTGCGACTCACCGTGGCAGGAAGCACAAGGCGCACGAGGACCTCGTTGTTTCTGGAAGGAAACGGTGATGGGCCGTACCCGGAACGACCAAACACCAGCAGCTGAGCCGGCACGGGCCTGGGCCACCTGGGCCCGGGCTCTTGGCTGCGAAATCTCCACAGCGCTGCGAAAGGGAAGAAGCCACTGAACTCGACATAGGATGCATTCTCATCCTCGCCGCTCACTTGAAGCTCTGCCACGGCCCGGCTCGGGAAGAAAGCGCTACGGGGAGTCGGAAGCGCCAGGTGCCAAATGCCTGGATCCCAAAGGTCCCGCGACGGGTCGAGCGAGTCTGGTGCTGTCGCGGACATGTCCACCAAAACCAAGCTACGGTGCAGTCCAAAGAGTTGGGTCTCACAAGCAACGTCCCCTGTCAGACTCGCGAAAGTCACCTCACAGGACTCAGCATTCCAGGACTGCGGAGGAAAGAGAGCGATCCGGAAAACCAGGCTGGAGAGATTCGCAATGGGTCGGAAATCCAATCCGCCCGAAGGCAGTTGCAGGCTGAAGCTCACGTTCATCGGGAGTTCTGCGCCGTGGTCCTCCATGAGCTCCAGTACCTGGCTGTGTCGAGGAAGGTCTTCAAACACCAACTTAAGCCCAGGACTCAGAGAGCTCAGAGAGCGCCGGGTGCTCCCTGCAGCATGCACCGCCAGAGTCAGGACCTCAATGCCTTCGTGCATGGAGCAGTTCTCGGTTCCTTTACATATCGCGGCAATCTGCGCCACTTCAGTACCCTCCCGAAATGGCTGTGTCAACTCCACGTTGAGGGCCAGTTGAAAGCTGCAAGAGCCATCTCCGCACGACTCGGTCAGCAATGTACCGGAACGGAGCTGCAGGGAGACCTCTGGAACGCTCTCGTTCCAGAAGCACCCAGTGGTGGCAGGAAAGCCAGGAAAGCCAGCTCCATCTTGGGATTCGGCTGCCAGATCCAGGAACCAGCCGCCGCAGGGCTGCCTCAGACCGGTGCGGCAGGTCCAACATGGTCCAACCATCACGAAAGCGAGAACTACTTGCCATAGCTATAGTAGTCATACTGCGCGACAGAAACCAGAAACGGCTGTGCAGCAAGGCATCTGCGTCAGGGGTTCTTGCAGATGTGTCGTCCTTGGCCACACTGCCAGAAAGCCTCAGTGTGTCCAAAGTGCCACAGCAAAGGCCCAGCGTACCGGACCGGAATACCTGTGAGTCGAACATTTCTTCCAAGAGTCGGATCTGCAACTCCCACCAACCATCATACGGCTCGATATCCTCCTTGCAGGATATGGCCGAGAGCAACAGCGGCCAATATTCTACGTGCTCGGGAGCCAGCCAAGACAAAGGCTAGAGCGTGACGTACATGCCATAGCTGCTTGTCAGGAACACGCATGCCGGTCATTTTGTGACAGTACATGGCATGCTTTGAGTGCATCTGTAACTGTAGCTTGTTCGCTGCTGACAGCTCGTAGGCGTTCGGGCCTCAGGGTCGTTTTAGGTTTTGGGCCTCTTGGGCGAAGCTAGACATCTTGTAGTTCTACGGTGCAGCAGCATGCGTGCGGCAAAATGAAGGGAAACATTGCATAGTCATGTCTTCAGAACGCAACGGCAACCACAGACGGACATCTCTACCACAGCAAGAAAGACACGGGCCAAACACAAGAGTGGACGGGCCTGACATGGCCTGACGAACAGACATCCATACACATCGTCCTGCGTGAGGCCAGGGGTGAAGAGCAGCAAGGCTGGCGCCACACTTCCCAGAGCGGAGCTCGCCAGAGTTAGGGACGCCGAAGGCCCTAGGATTACAACAGTAACAGAGAGAATGAGAGGCTGCTGCAAGCTGCCGGCTCTTCCGCTCTTCTCACGCATGTCATCTGACTCTGCCTTTCGGTGCCAAGTCGCCTGTGACGTTGTGAGGAAAAACAAGACCGGCGAAGCTCACAAGAGCAACGACGAGAACTCCCAACCGAACCATGGCCATTGATTAAAATAGGAGCAGGCGGGCTGCTGAAGCCGCATGTGCAGCTTCCCCATTTCCCACCTTGTCTACTGCACTGCAGAGATGCGGCTCTCTACTCACGACCCCTGAAAACCCCTCTTTGGAGATCTCCTTAGGCCATCAAATGTGCTAGGCGAGGAAAGTCCTTGCAGCACTTCGCGGTTTGCTTGGTGGAGGGCACACCTCGCAGGCCTGTCATTTCCGTCTCGTCTACTCATCTACTCAGGGCCTTGAGACCTCTTTTCCACGCTCGCAGCGGCAGCCGCTGGTCTTCGCTTGTGTCTTGCGTCTCCTTGCGGTTCAGAGATTTCAGAGCGAGGCGCCAGCGAGGCTCCACAGGGCACCTGGTCCACCCAGCCGTCTCGAGCGGATTGTTTAGGAGGAGAGGCTCTGATGGATTAAGAGATTTCGATGTTTTTCGTTAACCAGGTCCTAGCTGACCAGGTTTGATGAGAACTCTGCTCTGCACTGGCCTCTAAAGATCGTCCATGTCCGCGCGCCCGGGGTCGTACTGCGGGACCAGGCCGGGTACCTGCTCCAAGCCATCAATCGTCCCACATCTTCTCCTACATCAGCTGCTGGGCAGGAGGGTCCCTTTTCTCTTTCCTGCGCGGCTGCTCCGTCGGCTGCGTTAGCTGGGGCATCAGGAGCCAGATGATGGCAGCCGCAGTCAGAATGCGCCAAAGGGCGGCCAGCGCGATAACAACCGGGAACCGGGAGAAGCCAACAGCGCCTTCGGTGGCATCAATTCCACACCACAGTAGCAGCCGCCATTCGAGGTTTCGTCCCAGCACCATGCCTTGCGGTACTCCGGTTTACTGCATTTTGCAACTGGCATGCCTACTCAATGGGTTCTCTCTGTCCTCTCTTTTTCTGATGAAGCAGAAATCTGGGGAACGACTGCTTGCAGACTCCATTTTTTGCAGCTGCGTGGCCCAGGGTGCCGCCACTCCTCAGAACAAAGAGCAGCGTGCATTGTTCTGCCCGAATGATATGTTGCTCGAATATCTGACGTGAAAGAGAAATCTCTGCATCTTCCGAGGCTCTGCATCAAAGTGAATGCTGTGCCCTCGCAGCCTTTTGTCGCGTGGAGCTGCTGCAGGATCGTGGTCGGCATGAACGTCAGGGCCTTACCAAACCTCATGCTGCAGACTGCCTGCTGACCCTGCGTCCCTTCAGTCCTTGTGACGAAAAGAAACCAAATCACACATCAGTCATGAGCAAGCTGCTCGCTCGCTGCGTTCCTTGGCTGCACTTATCTGACTGGAAGTCTCCAGGTTTTAGATTTCCTAGGCTGCGAGCTCGAACACGCCCCACCCGAATCATCAGCTTTCGACAAACAGCCACGATGTGTGTCCACGAAACCAAGAAGTAAGATCCATCGACAAGCCATGCTCTGTTGGAAGCCCCATTCCATCGGACCATAGCAAGTGGCTGATACATCAGCTTTTTGTTGATGGCGAGACATTCCGCTCATAATTGGATCTCGTATCGCTCTAACTAGACTTTTGTCACAGTTGGCCTCAATTGGGAGTGCAGGAGTCTCCAGCAAGGCCGCAGGAAGCGCCAGAGATTCATCCACAGCCAGTAGCAACACCTCACTATCTCGGCAGGGTGGGTGGCTTTCCGTATCATTAGACAACGCCGAGGTCTTAGCAGCCAACTCCCCGAAACTCCAGGACACGAACTGATTTCAAGTTCAAAGCGGATTGCCTCAAAGGGGAACGCGTGCCTTCGCAAAGAGCGGCAGCGCCCAGAGCAGAAGGGAGAAGCGCAAGGCTCCTGAGCCGACTCGACCGAGGACAAAAGCAGGCTTCTGGATTTTGCCGTTGAATCATTGAAGGGACCTTCTGAGCTCACTGAGCTCTTGGAGCATTCAGTGGTTCGCTCTCGCTCCCTCTCTCTCTTCCTCTTCGCTTCCGTCCGGAAAGTGCTGCCTGTTGCAGTGCGGCCGAAAGCTATCTTCTCCCGGTATGTGAAGGTGCCCAGGAACCACCCAACCTGGCACAACTCTAGCACATGCAAGGCCCGCTCTCGGCGGCCTCTTGCAGCTTCAGTGTGGCATGGGGTGAAGATCTCAGACTCGGGACTGTCCCAGCGATGGATACCAATGGCTGCTGAGAGCTTTTCAAGCCCAGCACAAACTGGCGATAAAGGAAGGTGTCCTGATGCAAGCACCCACTGACATCCACAAAGCACAGACATCACCCACAGCAGATGCTAACCTCTGCCGGTCTTCAACTTTCCAAGGCCCCTGCAGCAGCTGGAGCCAAGCAAACGGCGAAGCCCAAGACAGCCACACACAATATGTTGGGCTTGGCCAGCTCTCTCCAAGCAAATGGTCGCCAGCCAGCGTCCGCGCCCGGCTCCTGCTGCGAGCCTTGAGTTTTCGAGATTTAGCCCTTCACTCAGCACAGGAGCCTTAGGTCTCACCCAACCCTACTTCTGAGAGCGGTGCGAGCACAAACCTGCAGCAAAGTTACTGCAAAATTTCTTCGCCTTTCGGCCAGCCTTTGCTTACGCCTTGCGGGCGCCTTGCGGGGGCCTTGCGTGTCCGAGGAGCGAGTCGGCCGAAGCGCAACGAGAATCGATGCCCAGGCCGCGGCGGTGACCATCAGGGAAAGCTGGGTCCTGGCACGCGAAAGGGTGCCCCCAAGTATCTCCCCAATGTCCCCAATGGGCATTCCCCCGCAACGTCAGTGCCGAGTGGCGGCAGCTCCAGGGCCCAAGCTGCGAAGCCGACGAGAAAAGCCTTAGGTTTGTTCTATGCTACCCGCCTGGCCTGACTGCAAAGTCGCCTTAATTTTTAGGCTCTAGGCTCTAGGGCCTCCAGGGTCTATTTTCCGGGTTCCCTTAAGGCCGGGTGGCACCGATGCTGTACCCCGTCTGGCACAGAGACCTTATGGACGACGCGGACAGACACAAAGGGAAGGTGCTGAGCACACAAAAGCAAACGTCGTGGTAAGCACATGGCGATTCACATAACTGCAATCTGAGAAAAGCATCAGACATAAAACAAGTACCTTGATGTTCCATGCTGCGTTACTATGCTACACTTTATTGTTTAATAAAGATAATGTCTGAATATTGAGATTGAATATTGAGGCTGTTTTCATGGTATTTTGCGAAGCATTACATGATGTCCCATAAAATTGGGGAGGGGTCGAAGCGAGGCGCTGCAGAGCAGCAGCAGATGCCTCTGTCGATTCAGCAGCCAGCCTTCCGTCGGTGAGACCATCCACCACCTCAAGGAGAGCCAGGCTGAGGACAAGGCATACAGAACAGTGCAAAATGTCAGTATGTTCTTAAATGATTGCACGTGATTGCCAGGGGTCTAGGAGATCAGAGACGGCCAAAAAAAGGTCGCGAAGGTCTGACGTGAAGCTGTCGTCCGAGGGGCCGCCGAGCCCAGAGATGCGAGACCGGTTGCGAGCAGCAGCATCATTGGCATCGGTGGGTACACGCTTAGGAAGAACCACGGCATGGCCGTGACGGCCACGGCTGTTACAAGCCTGGGGCAGGGGACACAAAAAACTCCGGTGAAGTTTCTGGACATGTCCAAACAGCTCTCTCTGCGCTGCCCAAGCAGCGCCAACTGCCGCGTCGCTGGCACGGTCCGCTCGATGAGCAACCTCCGAGAAATGCGACGAAGCCGCAGGAAGTGGTGCACGAGGGAACACGAAGCTTGCGCTGTATCGTTCGATAAGTGCTGCCGGGTCTCACAATCACGGGCTTCAGCGCCCAGGGGAGGCTTCCTAAAGGATCCATCAGCTGTGTGAGAGGCCCTCCCGAGTCGGGCGGCTTCGGGTGAGCTCAGGATCCGGCCGAACTCTGGCAGCAGGTTGCTGAAGAGCTGGAGTTCGCGCATGCTGAGGAGCTGCGCAGCTGAACCTTCGCACGTCCAAGCCCCCTGAAAAAGCTGAATGTGCGCCGGCCCAGTATACGCCCTTTTCACATCTTCTAGCTTTCCCCCCCCCGTTTGTTGTTCAGCCAAAAGGAGCTCTTCAAGTAGTCCTTGCCGACTCGACCGATGCCTTGCGCCAGATAAGTGAGGAAGTACCTCAAAAGCATCATGTTGCCATCGGAAGCATGAGCAGGCTGGAAGCACTTCCCCTCACCAGCGGGCACTGAGCATGCTCGGGTTGCATTTGCCTCACCTGCCCCAAAATTTGAGTGAACGAAGGCACGGCAGAACTGAGATGTGCCTGTAGGACCACCTTCAGCCATGCCCGGAGATGCTCCATGGCATGCTGCGCAGCACCCGAATCTGAAGAGCGCTCGGGTTTCAACCAGACAGAGATTCTTGACCCTCAAAGCGAAAAAAAACTCAACATGCTCACAATTACTAAAATCACCTTGTGACATGTTTCTCCCGGTCCGAACTCGCGCAGTTGGTCATGTTTTCGCCAACATTTATGGAACTCCTAGGCTTCTGCTAGGGTTCTGGCAAAGTACTCATGGGGAGATCATCGCACCTTGAGTTGCAGTGCTCCATAAAATAGCTGCCTGGGCCCAGAAGTGACACCCACAAGCGACCTGCAGGGATAGATGGTAGGATTTGAATGAACGTGTTGCTCAGCCCAGAACAAAGCTTGTTGGTTTTGCAAGAGCACCGAGTGGGTGTTGCGGAAGCAACATTCAAAGCTGCAGGGCAGGCCCCATTGAGACTCTCCTTGATGTTTTTTGCGTTGTCGGGTACTGTTTGGACCGCTTTGTCAGCGAGAGCATCGACAACCTTCTCGCAGAACTCAAGCACGCTGCGGGGGATGGTCTTGTTTGGCGGTGGAGGATCATTCAGGATCCAATCAACCATCCCCTTGGCCTCATCAGAATAGGAGGAGAGAGAGAGGTTCAGGAGCTTTGCCAGCATGGGTTCATAGGTTGCCTTGGCCTCGCCAACCTTGATCTAATACATCGAGTAGAAGTCAGCCTGCCTGCAGGCATTGGGGAAATGTGGATCGGGTGCGAGGCACAGACGCTGCGGTTGTGGGAACTTGAAGGGAAACGAGGCCACACAACCAGTCACACAGGACACGTCTTCGTTGTCCCACTTGGTGTACTTCAAGACCCAAATGGGCTTACCACTACTCTTATCTATACCGTTCTCCCAGATGCACTTCATTGGTGGATCTATGCCCTGGACGAAGCCTTGGTAAGAGGCGTTCAGTAGCTTGTGATACGTCGCAGCTTTCCCTCGCAGGGCTGAGAGCACGGTGGTTCTTTGAGTTTCAAACGTGGCGAAAACAGCCATCTGGGCCATGATGTTGAGATGCATCAGAACGTATTGAAACTGAAAGAAGATGGCGCCAGATTTCCAAAATTCCAAGCAATCTGGGCTTGGCAAGTCATTTGGTTGCATAGGAACGGCAAGTGCGAGGGTACAATTTGCTTCATTCCCGAAAATGTTGTATTCTGACGCGTCCATGATGTTGATGTACCTTTCCAGTACTCTGTACCAATGCTGGTATTTCTCAACTTGCGAGGTCTTGTCGTCCACCAAGAAGTCCAGAGGCATACCAGCCAGCATCTGCATGAAGCCGGCCAACTGCCCCTTGGCTGCAGCCACTGCATCCTGAACCTCTTGAGCCCGCACAATCGCTCGCACCTCGCTCATGATCTGCTTGTACAGGCTGGTCAAGGCTGACTCGGAGTCATCGTGGAAGAGGGACATGGCGAAGGTGACTACCATGCTGAGGATGGGGCCAGCGCCGGGCACCAAACCAACAAGTCCACCCACAACAGTTCCGATGCCTTGGACATAGTCCTCCCAATTCTGTCCACCACTGTCAGCAAAGGCCATCGTGTATAGGAGGCCATTGACAATGCAACCACCCAAAGCAAAGTTGTTCTCAGGCTTCCCGTACTTGTCAAGCGGACCCCATGTGATATCTTTCCATGGCAGCTGCGTCATCTTTGTTGCCACATCTGAAAAGGAAGACCACGTTGCACTTTGCCCGACAGGGCCGGCATTATGATGCTTCAGGTGTTTCCGCTGTTTCAAGCTGAAGGCCACCCAGCTGTCATCCTCAGAGCCTTCGCATTCATCAGAGGTTGCCGCGGAGAGAGATAACCACGCTGCTGCAATCCACAGCAAGAGCTTCATGACCCTGACGGTGAGTTGATGCCGATCCCCCCAAAGTTCGAACCAAATGGCTCTCAAAAACAATCAAAACATGCAAAAACTGGGCCTTCCGAAAATTTGGATCGAACATGGCATTGAATTGCCAGACGCGCTAACTCTGGGAAGCGCAACCACTAAACTTATGACATGCCTCAACGGCAGACCCGGCCTGCAAATCTCTAGGCTCCAAAGGTATATTCGAAATGGGTCCGAAATGGGACTTTAGCCGTGCTTTCCGCTTTTGAGGCTGCTGCGCCAGAGGTTCAAAGATCACAGCAACACCGGTCAGCACACATGGGCAGGATTTCGCACAGTTCTGAAGTTCTGAAGCTGGACCAGCCACGGACATTGTTCAAGCAAATTCAAGCAATCTGCTACATCTTCGTCTAGGTCCAGCTTGGCAAGGCCTGCATCCTCCATTGTCGCTCCAGCTGCTGCTGCTCGTCTTGTGCTGACTTTCTTTCAGCCTCCACACATGCACCGCCCTGGTCCCAGCTTCTGCGTGAGCAGAGGAATTCACGAACAGAGCAGCTCCTCGTACAAGGCCGACTCGTGGCTCCCCCACTCCTCACAATTGTAACAGGAGGAAAAAGGGCGCTTTCTGAATTCCGAAGGCCGATGTACACTGTGCACACTTTTCACGGGCATCTGCTCGCAGTGTCGCAAAAGGGGTCATACAGGAGGTGCGGGAGCAACAACAACTCTCCTTGAGCTGGATGAGGAAGTCGCGTATGTGCTGCTGGAACCTCCAAGATCCACCCAACACAAAAGGAATCAAAAACCCCGAAGAACCAAGAACCAAGGCGCAAGACTGAGATTGAATACCGCGGGTTTCATGCGCTGTGAGACATAGCCCAAGCTGACTCGAAGAGTCGACACTTCTCAGTTTTTGATCCAAAATATGAGGGCCCGGGCTCGGCAGGCTGCCGCGACTTGTTGAAGCAGTGGAGCACAAAAATCTCAGCCTCTCCACAATTTGGGATTTCTATACAGTGATCAGGCCTGTAGTATCTGTATTGCCCTGTAGCTTGCAATGCACCTGGCTCTTGTTCAGAGTTGGGAATGACCTCAAGTAGCGTGGTGGAGCCCACTCAACTTCCGGATCCCAAATCTCCCGGCTTGGGCCCCAGCTTGCCAATTAGCTCGAAAAGGAACCTGGCTGCTGAGCCATTTGAATTTCGGAGCCTCTTCTTCCAAGCTCGAGCTCAGGAAATGCAAATGATGCAGCCGTGCAGCTCCATCACGCGCTGCTTTGGCGCTGCGTCGCTGAGCATTTGGTTCTCAGCGGCAACGATGAGTTGCCTTGCAATGGTTCAGCCGAGACGTGGAAGCAGCTGGGTTTTTTAAGAAAATCCTCCCTCTCTTCAAGAGCCCAGGAGCAGCAGAATGTGCTGCTGCAGCTTGAAGCCACTCTTGTGGGAGGTGTCTGTAAGAACACCAATGACCTGTTCAGCTATCGCCAAGTTGGACGAGACACACTCACTGATGAGGCTCCCGGACGGCTTGAAGGATGAGGAAGTAGTACTGTTTGAAGAAAGGAACCTGAAGCTCGGCGACAAGCGACGCTTCTTGCGACGCTTCTAGCGACGCCTTGTGGAAAGTTCTTTCAAACACCGGGCCGCAAGGCATAAATACTACTTGGGCCACTCAGAAGGCGCTCCAGAAACTGTGAGAGCACCTGGCAGCTGGACAGTTGCAGACCATCGGGGTTCTTGGATGTGGGGCGTTTAGGGCTCTTGTTAAGGCGGTTCAACCTGCAGGCCGCTGTCGGCCACTTGTGGCTGCTCATGCTTCATGGCCCAAATCAACGAGTCCTGGGCCAAGCTTGCCAATGTGATTATAGCTGTTCCATCTGCCCGGAGGTTTGAGGCGCGTGCCACGAAGAGAATCAGTTGGGCCTCTGGCAAATAGAACAGGGCCTGCCATTCATCTGCCGTCACGGCACCAAACTCTTTCAAGGCGAGGCCGGGCCTGGAAGCAATTTGCATTGATTGCCTTGAGCAAGTCGTAGAACTTCACCCTCCCGGCGCTAACTAGCTCAGAGCTACAAGCACAAGGGCCGAAGGTGAGAAGTGGACACCCTGTTCACAACGCGCTTCAGTGCGGCAACCCAGAGATGTCCTGTGGTCCGGGTAACTTTGGAAGTCGCCCTTGATCATGTCACACCTTAATTCAGGTCTTACCTGTTCAGAGGTCAGCGTACCTATTCGACATTAAGAACACATACAATATATTGCGTTCAAGCAATAAGCTACCTCACGCGACAGAAGGCTTTCTCTCCGTCGAAGACGTGAGAAGTGGAGGTCGGGCCACAGTTGGCTGTACAAGCGAGGGGACAATAGTTTCTGTGGGATTTGTCAGGGGCTAACGGTGGTACCTCTGAAAAGGCCCTTTGAAAAAGGCCCGAAGAAATGTACCGACAATGATGACACCTCACCTTACAAAATGACCCCGTTCCCTTTGACAAACTCCCTGGTTGGCATTGACTGGGAAGCCCCCTGCACCGCGAGCTCTTCACGGGCTCGTAGCGAGTGCTCGAGAGGCGGGAAGCCAGCCCCATGTCTCCTTCACAACTGCGACAGGGGCCAGGAAGCTGCATGCAGCTTCCTTGCCATTAGACCCGAAAACCTGCCATGGCTTTGTGCCAGGGGCGAAAGACTCAATTGAAATCGCTCAACGGCTTTGCAACGAAGGGCTGGTCCAACCGTAACAGCCCTTCCGCGTGGGGCGATGGCGGCATGCAGGGAGCACTGCTGCGTGTCAGCAGGCTGAGGAATATGTGGGCGTGGGCAATGCCACACTGGACTGCTGCCACCTGGGATTTAGGATCTTTGGTCTTTGGGCTATATTTACATACAGCCTTCATAGGAGCAAAGCAAGTGTTCCAACTGGCAGCTGGAAGGATGAGGCTGATCCCGGGCAAAAGGTGGGCCAAGTGCCCACAAAGTCGGAGGTTGGAGCTCTTTAGGGGTAATGTAACCGCCACGACAAGAAATTGGGAGGGCAGGCTTTGGGATTGCAAGGATCCGCCACCAACGTTGTCTATGTACAGTCTTGGATGGAACAGCAACATGACATCTGAGCTCATCGTCGGCCGCGATTCATGCTCATGCCCAGATCGGTCATCAGGTGCTGTCCATGCTTCGTTCTCCTGAGCTCGCCGATGCAGCTCCACAGCCGAGACACTGCCGCGGATCGATCTGTATCTGGGTGTTCCACCAGGACCCGGACGACATAGCAGCCGTACCTTGACAGAGCCAATTCTTCCAAAGATTCCGTCAACTCGGCGAGCAGGGAGCGCTGGTAGTGCGGCGAGCAGAAAGACAGGACCTTCTCCACGAGGTAGCTTGCATTCTGATTCTGAGCGAAGCCCATGGGATTCGAGCAAATCGTCTTTGCCACGGCATCGCGGTGGCAGTCGGTACCATGCTCCAGTACGGACTGGGCAACGTGGTGACCGAACGGATGACAGCACAAATCCTCTGCTTCCTGAAGTACCTCGTCCACCAACCGCAGGGTGCCGTCTTGCGATGCGTAGAACTCAAGCAAGCGGCAGAAAATACGGCATCCAAATCGGTGGCGAGCAAACTTCGATGCAAAGCCCTCCAGTTCATCTGCCACGAAGCTGCAGCTGTTCCATGTCAATTGAGTTACGACTTTTTGTACCACGTAGTTGGCATGCGGCGACATCAACGCCTCGCGAATGTGGCCTCGCAGTTCCCTCGCCAGCTCGGCAGCCTCACGAGGAGTGGCACGCTCAAGCGCCAGCTGAATCAGGCGGCAGCCCAGGGGATGGCAAGAGAGGTCCCAAACATGGTCTACACAATGGTCCTTCAACAACGTTAAGGCCGAGGAGACCTGCTCGGGGCTTCCTTGCAGTTGCTGCTGCAGATCTTCGTATGCAGCAGAGTCAAAGATTTCCGTCAATGGATTCCAGACACGCCCAACTGCAACTGGACCGTTGCTGGCCCAGGGTTTCGGTGCCGGGCTCGCCAGCGCCCTCTGCGAGGCGCGCTTCCGGCGGAGCCGGCGGGCGGCGCTGGTGCTGAGCTTGGCCAGGCCCTCAGCGCGATCAGCCTCGGAGGCGGTGTCGGGCGGCGAAGGCAGCTCCCTCTGGGCTGCGCCGTGTTCATCCTCACTGCAGGTGCTGCTGCCGACGCCGGGAGCGTGCACAGGCTTCAGGACTGGGGTCAGCTGCATGTTCGGGTGCAGGATCTCCGGCGGAACAGGAGGTTGAAGCGCCACGTGCGGTCCGAACTTCTCTGTCTGGCACATCATGGACGGCTGCGTTGCGGCGTAGGGGAACTGGCCCGCCGGCACAAGCATGGCAAGTACACATTGTTGCTGTGACTGCGGCGGCATGGGCGTCGGCAACGAACGCAACTCGGCATCTGTGCCGTATTGCGTCGAGGGGGTGCAGAACGGAACCACCATTAGAGCAGAAGAGCGCTGCAAAGACAATCCGACCCAACGTTTATTGATTGTATAGCTGTCTTGAGCCAAAATGGCTACGGGAAGAGTTTCGGACTTTGGGTTCTCGGGGCCCTCGATGCACGATCTGTTCCTGATTGGTTCCCCTAAGGCCAAAATAGTTGCATTTGGCTCCACGGACTTCGTAGTACCGCACCAAAGGAATACACGCGTCTGGCCTTCTGGCACAGCCTTGTCAGCCATTGTCGGCTTGTTGGCTTGCATGCTGGGTCGCATACGTGCACTCCAGCACCATCTCGAATATCCTCCCCACCTCAGGATTGCTTGGGGCGTAGCCACATGTCCCAGGCAGCGTGAAGCAATGGCATTGCGCTCATGACACTCGGGGCCCATGGCTTCCTGCGAAATGGATTCCTCAGCAAACAAAAGGGAAGCTGAAGAGAGGTACGAGCCAGTACGACCCATTTTCGTGCCCGATCATTGCCATGCCAAGACTCATGTATCCTGGTCGCCAGGACAGCAAGCAAGTCCTAAGCAGACATTCGGGCATGTGGGAAGAGTTGGAATTCAGAAGCTTCGCTTGGGTCGCCTTCCAGGCACTCTCAGAATTCGCTACAAAGGAATTGTCAGCCAAGTCGCTAAGACTTCTGCATCCCGCGCCTGCTTCTTGAGATGTTTTCATGAAATGTTCTGCATAGTCTCTGTTGCACTACAGCTTCAAGCTTCACCAGCTGCCTGGGGCATGTTACTGCGGTAGTCTGCTAAAACCGGCTCCTGCAGACGTGATGGCATGTTGCAGGGAATTTGCTTTGCGACTGCTGTCTGCATGTCTGCACAACTGGCGAGTGCTCCAGCAATGGCGGGACGAAGCGCTGCGCGATCCTCGGTGAACGAGATGAGGTCTTTAAGGATGCTCGTCTCTCGGGTTCTCCAGTCGTTTCTTAAGTTCTCTGTCTCCTCTTCTGTACCGTCGATAATGCCTTAGATTCTGTATTTTATAAAAGTGTATACTCGACAGTGCAGTCGGTCAGCCAGTCAGCCAGGCAGTCAACGGATGTTTGCTTTAGCTGCCCGTAGCCCACGCGACCCTGCTCACATGGCCCAATCAGCAAGTTGAACCTTAAGCAGTCCACAACCGAGTCCACCCTGGACCCTCCGTTCTCCGACAACCAAGGAGGCTCAGGAATGAAGCCATATGAAGCCGCGATGGCGAAACGGATCAAGAGGGAGGCGCATCAAAAGCCCCATGTATGCTCCCCGACTCGTCACTACCTCAACCCCCCCCCCCCCCCGGCCCCTGCCGTGGGTAATAGAAGCCAACAGCCAACCCGGCCCGCCAAAAAGGAGAGAGCGAGAGAGAGAAAAAAAAAAAAAACAAGGACAACAAGAGGACGAACGGGCGGAGAGCTACACAGCCTAAGGTGCCAGCTATGATGCTATGATGCTCTCCGCAAGATTGCGATCGGGTGCAGCGACGCATCCCTTCAGGAATCAATCGAGCCAACGGAACCTCAGGAAACGAAAGAGGAAGGAGTCACCGGGGTGTATGATCGTGTAACCGCCTCAGGAACCACGACCCGACTCGAAAGAAGTTGGTCCGACTGCTCACCCGCAACAGTCCGACCCAGCAGAAACCGCAACAATGAATCCCCCAAACTCAGCTCGGTGAACGCCTGGAAGGCGTGGGTTATGGGCACCAACAACACCCGGTCCACATGAGCCGCCACTTCCCCATCAGCCCAAGCACCAAACCTCCACCTTTCTGAGCATCTTCCACTCATACACACGTAGTCCGAAACAAGCATTAACACATAAGTGCAATCCATGGCTCCATCCAGCGGAGAGCATACTACATGCAGCATCGCAGACTTGTAATTCTACTAGTATGTATCGATACATCTACACACACATATTTTTTTTAAATCCAGTATCTCGTGTTGCTTCCTTTCTGGGCTGCGCGCTGCGCCGGAGTCAGCCGCACCTCCGCGGCGCCCTGCGGTGTGGCCGCGTCCACAAAGGATCGGACCAGCCGCAGGGTGTCGCCTCCCAGCTGATCCCCTTACTGCCTACCCTCTGGCAGAGAAAAGCTTGCATTGTAAAAACAAGCTTTGGACTTGTTTTTGAGGCTCTGATCACTTAGGACTCGGCTCTGCTTCAAAGGGACGTTCATTCACGCCCCCCCCCCCCCCCCCCCGCCACCCCCCACTTCCCTCTCTTCGGAAGATTTCGCGTTTCCTCGAAGCTTCCCATCCTTAGAAACTCATGACTTTGGCAGCCGCGGAGCGCTTGACATTCCGCAGCAGCTTCACCTCTGTTCGGGCAGGTGATGCAGCATGATGCAGCGAAGTGATGTCTCGCGGCCCCCAAGGTTCCGGGCATTTGCCAGGTGCATGACTTGTGCACCCTGCTGCGCCGTACTGTGGGAGATGAAGTCGCTGCAGACCTCCACGCAAGAGTTGTGCTATGATGCGCATCCTCAAACAAAAGAGTGGACCTTGTAGATCTTCAACATATCGCAGTACATACCTGTCCAAGTTCAAGTCTCTGGCAGAAGTCTCTGCAGGTGTAGGTCTAAGGGGGCCTGCAAGCTGTGCGTGGCAGGCCGTGCCAATGGCGATGACCATGCGCTCATTCACGCGCAGAATCAGCGAGATTTCCCTCAAGACCTTCGAGCTCTTTGTGCAACCATGGACCAGGAGGACAGGCAAGAACAAAGATCTCGCAGATTCGCACGCAGCCATGCCTGCTGGTTCTGCACGAAGACTTCCAAAGACCCTGTAGCTGAGAGTCCTGGACTTGGACCCCTCAGACGCGCCCGAAACCCAGTTAGAGCCCGGTCCTCTCAAAATGGAGGCCCACTTCTCGTTGAAGATTCCTCGGCTTTGGTGCACTGCCCCTCCAAAGGCTTCGAAAGGCTCATCGACTTCGGGATGTTCGGGAGCGGGCCCATGAGGAGGGCGATCAAGCGCACCTACGCAGCCCCATGTCGGAAAGTCTCCGCTAGGCACCTCCTGGCATCTGCTGGCATCCGCTGGCCTTCTGGTCCGACGAGGCGGCGCTTATCATGTGTCCGACCGCCTCAAAGAAAGTGCCTTACAGCAGGTCAATGGTCCAGGCAATCCCTCAATCCCTCTTCACCTTCCCGATCCATGTGACCAAAGCGCAGATTTGCAACGGCTCCAGTTCCGAGATGTCCTGCAGAGCACATGTTTTGGTCTCCTGAAAGAAAACGCACCTTAAGCACACCCGCCTGCGCAATGTGGCTTGGCATTGTCTCGATGAAGGGCGCAGGCTCGTTGCTCTGTTGCACAGCACGCGGAGGACACTGCCCATTCTGATCTGTGTACTGGCCTAAGCACCTAGGGGCTCCCAAAGCCAGCCTGCTGCACGATGAACTTCTTCTTGCACTTCTGGCATATCCGAAGGAAGGTGTCAACTGCCATCTGCCTCATGCGGGCGGTGTGAGTGGGCAAAAGGGGCCGGCAATGGAAGCAAACACTTTCTTGCGTGAGATTTTGCGACCAAATGTCTGGACCCCCGGAAAGGTTTCGTGCATGAACTCGAAGAGCTTGAAGACCACCTTGCAGTATTCTCCATGCAACATGATTTCCTAAACATTAACATCATATGCAACAACTGACAACTTATAAGCCTCTTAATTAACGGGAAGGCAAGAGAAGGGTTGCGGGATCGGCGCTACTGAGTTGAGAGGGCTTTGATGCTGTGTTCGGGAATGGCAAGCTGCGAGCAAGGCGCAGTCCTCAGAAACTTCCAGTGGGCCCTCAGGAATCGAGGATACTGACCCACCACGTACCTGAGCCACCCAATTGCTGCAAAGCTACGGCAAAAAAATCGGTGCAAGAGAACACGGGCAAGCAAGGGGTGCATGATGTTGCTGGCCACTGCTGCTTTGTTGTCCTGCGGAGAAGCGTTGCAAGCTGCTCTGCGCTGACATTCTGCCTTTTGATGGCTCGCCTTCCCCTTCTTCATGTCACAAAGGTTCAAGAGGTCCTTGATCACCTGAAGACAACGGTGCTTCCCCCCCTACGCAGACTTGCAACTCAGTCGAGCGGCCGCGACCACGAACTTCCTCTCGTCCGGTTCCTGAAGGCAGGTGGTTGGTGATGCCCCTTAAAGAGAAGTCGATCTGGAGCACAGCAGTGTCCCCATGCCTGCATGGCACCGCTGATAGACCCGATGGCATAGCACAGGCGGTTTAACATCAAAGGGGACCACTTTTCCAGGTCCTTCCTCTCCAAGCATTCCTGGCATGCATTGCTCAGGCTCAGGACCAGGATGTGTAATGTGCAGTACTTGAATCAAGGGGGGGGGGGGGGGGGGGAAACAGTGCTAGGCACTCTTTGTGCTTCTTGGGAGGCATGCCTAAACACATGCAGAAATTTTTGCCAGAGCCTGCTCCACCCGCTGCAGCACAATGCGTTCCTCACTCGCAATTTGCAGCTTTCCAAGTTCGTGATTCCATGAGCTTCCATCGCAAGATCTAAAGGCAAGGCACCATGTGGCTGGAGTCCAGGTGGGTCAGATAGATCAAAGCCTGTGGGCACGTAGCACCTATAAAATGGCAAGTTTATCAGGCGATCGTCTCAGGGGCAGGCTTCACGCATCATCTTGTACAGAGCAAGCTCGTCCGTGTCCTCCTCCTCCACTCGCACCTCATCTGTGATACTTACCTTCAGATATGCGGTGGCCATCTGGCTCTAGCAGACTCTAGCAGCTCTAGCAATCCAAAAGCCCATCCCAGCCAATTACCGCTTCGTTTCATGCCTGGTTTTTTTTTCACATCGGAGCCTGCTTACCATCGGAAGGGTGCGTTTTACGCAGTGCCCTTCTTCTGATTCTATACTGCAAGTGCTCCTCATTCGAGAGCTGCCCCACGTCCGGAGCTCAGAAACTCCATTGGGGGGCCGAACAAAGTTCAAGAATTGCAGAATATTGCAGTTACCTTTTTTAGGCCTGCATTATTCTGGCCATCATGAAAGCATGTCCTTCGAAGATCTCCGAAGGATTCAGTGGCCGCAGCGATTCGACTCGCTCAAGTAACGCTAGAGCTTCCAGGTATTGGCCTCAGCGAACCCACGCCAGCACAAGAATTTGACCCCCAGTTCCCCAGTTCTTCTCACACTTTGCTCTATTCTTGCATTGGGCTCCTGGGCTCGTGATTGCAACACGTCGAGGAGAATCTCAGTCGGCACCTCTGCACAAGAGTAAAAGATAGTCCAAGAGCATCTCCGAGAGAGCATCTAAGAGAAGTGTGCCCCCCAGTGCCCGTCCCACCTCGCGCAGCCAGTCACGCCTGGCTGCACCGGTTGGAGATTCATCTTGTGGCCGTGCCCGATGCTCCTGTCACCGTGTATCATCCTATGCCTCTTAACATCCTGCGACTGCACTTTCTGGCTGGCTGCTCTGGGTGTCAATCCTCCACATCTTCCAGTTGACCCGGAAGCACCGGCTGCCTAGTCTCTCATCGAAATCGATTGTGCGCAACACAGGTCAAGTCGTCTGCAAGTGGCATGGAGCCCAGGACCATGGCATTCCGACAGGCATGGCTGGTGTGCTCGGTCTCTGTGGAAGAGGCGGCGCCTTGTCCAACGAGTTCTCTTACCACACTGGCTGTTTTCAGCATCTCTAAGATTTTCAAAGCGTGCACCTTCAGCTCATGCTCTTGATCGAACTCCTCAACCATGAGCTGCCCTGGCATGGGGCCTTTTCCTGGCACCACAACATCACACGATTCGTTGGAAATTGGGCTCATCAACTTGGATGTTCTTCTCTGCACAGGTGCTAGGTAAGGTACTTAAACCGACGCCTCAGATTCTACAGCAATTCTACAGGAGCATGTCAAGCATGGACGAACTCTTCAGGTCTCTGCTTGTGCTAACTTTCCAGCTGTCCTGGAGGGAGTGGAGAACTTCGAAGATCGCCACCCAAGAGTTGGCAAAGATCAGCTTGAAGATCTGCCAGCTGCGAGCTCAGCGTGCGGTCCTGGCAAGGAGACGTCCAGCGCAAAAGACGGAGAAACATAAAAAAAACAAAACAAGCGGAACAAAGAAGCGGCTTCTAAATCACAAAAAGCACCCTTATACATCTCCCGCTGGCTCCTTTTGCTGTACCTTGATTTCAAGCCTTTGAAGGTCGAAATGGCCGATCTCAGCATCTTTCCGCAAGTCCAGCACCTGGCGGAATTCCAGAAGAGAATTCCTAGGCGTGCCTGGGCCACTGGGGGCCCCCTGGGCCGCTTAGGCCCCTGTACTATCTCAGCTCTCTCCACGCCTGGCTTTGAAACTGGTCGAAGTCGAGGTAGATCTTCTTTGCTTCCCTTTCCTCGACCTGGTCAAACACCAGCGGCTGTCCCGACCGCTTCTTCGATTGCAGTGCAGGTGCCTGGGCATCCTCATCCTCATCATCCGCCACGCCTCCGCGAGGCGCTGCGTCATGCTACTTCAGTGGCATGTGCTAGCCCGCGCCATGAAACCTGTCATCTCAACAGCCCTCATAAATCCGAAGCCCAATCAGCAGAGAGCTGCAAACGCTACGTGAGGCATAGTTACTGGTAGGTGTATTAACGATTTGGACAGGGGTTCCGTCCTGTGCCTCTTGGTTGGCTGGTCCCTGGCCTTCATAATGATGATTGCTGTGGTGGTGCTGGTGATGATGATGCTGATGTGGTTGTTGTGGTTGTAGCTGTGGCTGTGGTATGTTTGGGGTTGCGGCATCCAGAGTCTCCCCTGCTTACAATATCCGTGCCTGTGAATATTCACTGCTGCGAGGCATCTCTTTTCTTGCCATGCCAAGCATCTTGTGGCATTCACTGCATGTACAGCGGCTCCTTTTTCTTCCCCCCCACAAACACACACAAAACCAACAAACAACGCAGCCTTGACAAAAGCCAACGCACATAACATTTCCAAATAATCATGGCCCCAGAACATCGCCATTTCAGAAGCTCTTGGCTTTGTGATCTCCAGACCCTGACTTTGCACGTCCATGGTGCTAAAACCCATGCGAAACCCTGCTGCGAAAAAGCAAGCCTGTCAGTGCTTTCTACAGGCAAGAAAAGCACGTGATCTGGTACAGGAACACGATCTTGTTGTTATTGTTCCTGCCTGCTGTCGTGGACGTCGTCATCCGGCAAGCGCGGCAACCAGGCAGGAACCAACGGCACAAAAGAAACAAAGCATGGCAAAAGCATTAAACCCTATTCGCCCCCCGCCCCCCCACCCCCCTTCGCCCCAAATGCCCGCGTGGCTCCCCCAACCTCCAAAGATGGTCGACTGGAGCTCCGACAGGCGCTCGGCCACGGGCTTGCGCTCGTCCAACTCGAGCCTGACCAGAGGCAGCTGGACTAGCCGCTAGCCCTTCACAGCCATGCACATCACCACACGTCCACCGAGTGGTTGTCTGGGACCAAACGAGAAAAACAAAATATACAGCTCTACCTTGGAAACGAGTGTCACAGCCCCCTGAGTTCAGGAGATCGGTTCCCTCATGCCGACGTGCCTCTTCATCAGCTGCTGGCAGCGCTTACTTGATGCCACCCGTGACCATTCCTGCACATCGTCCGCGAACTTCGAGACTGATATAGGGCCCCTTAGAACAGGTACCCGTGGGGCTTTTGCTGTCATGGTCTCGTCTAATCTCGTAATCTCCGTAAATCTAGACTATCTCTAGCATATTGCAGCATGTATTTGCCTTATTGTGAAACCAAAGTCAAAACGGAAAGCACCTGTCGACTCCAATTAAACAAGTTCATCTTGATTGGGAAGACCCTCAAGAACAAGGTCAGTGGCGGTCGCATTACCTCCCGTGTCTGTTGCACCTATAGAAGTCTCAAATAATATGAACTGCACAATTGCAATCCTTAGCCTCAAGAAGGAGACCTTCGCAATCTGATTAGTGAACGAGACCTCGACCTCGGATTACCCGAATGCAACTGTCACAGATGCCTAGATACCTAGATGCCTGGAATATCCTGGAATCCTAGCATCGCACCAGGCGCCCGGTTCCCAGGTCCTGTTCCGAGATCGATCCATCTCCGTTCCGGTCGGCGGCCTCCGTCACAGGCCCGCATTTGCAGACCGAGGCGGTTTCACAACCACCTATGTGTAATCTACTCAAAAGTGCGGTGAACCATGGGCCGAGAGGCGCTTCAACAACCGACAGTACTTAGGTCTGCGTTGCCACCGTGTCGTTGGTACAAGGCTCAACCCAATGGATCCTGCGATTATCCCTTCCAAGTGGGTGCTGAGGGCACGATGCGTGCACGGCCGTGCATTGCTGCAAGAGGCCCGAAGCCCTGCCACTCTTGCCTAGAGACCATACAAGTGCAAATATAAGTGCGTAACCACTAGTGAGTGTGTATAATATTGGTGTATCACTATAGTCACTATAGTCACTCGACTAAGGATACTCATGAAAGCGCTCTGATGCCTCGAAGAGTTCCTTTAGAAGTCTCTCCAGATCGGCTTGCTCTTGCGCTTTCTCCTCCTCCTTGGAACCTGGCTTTGCATGACACTGGAAAAGCCATACTAGTAAGTTCTTCCATAAAAGTGCAGGAAGCGTCACACAACTGCTTTATACATCAAGATTTGTAAACATAAATGCATGCGTATATGATTTTTTGGACTACGTGTTGTGATTCTTTTCATCCATTGCAGGCAAGGCTCTATCTGCAATTACCTGCGAGAAGCAAGCGAGTCTGTCTGATGATTGAGCTGCGGAAGATTTGGGGGCCCGGACCTGGCAAAGAATTCCAATAAGCATGTTGAGCAAGCTGATGCCACACCTCGAGGCTTCAGAGCGCATTCCTATGTTGATAGAATTATTGCAATATTCTCGTTTACTAAGATGATCTTATGACGCTATTCATAATATGTTGTTCCAGTATACTAGTATATTATGATCTCGTTGTATCACAGTATGTTACATACCATTTCATCATACATTGACCGACACTGGAACAGTTGGAGCTTCGTGACCTTGTAGTGGGCCGTGACCTTATAGTGGGCTCTGGCTGAGACAAGGGGCAGCACCAGGAAGACGATGCCCAGCCACATCAACAGCACGCTCTCCTACACAGAATGCAAGGAGTCTCACACGGTAGATGGACCATGCCACATGCTCTGTCCTCCTGCAAAGTGATCAGGAAAAAGTGCAAGTTGTCACCTGTGCACTAGAAACATCAGATCCTTCTTCAGCAACTTCGACGCTCGACTCTGCGACAGCAGCTGCGCACTTTTCACCAAGGCACCCAGAATCCCATGCGTGAAGAGCGACATCATGCTTGAAGGCATGTCGCTGAAAAGCTCCGGGGCCTTGGGATGCGGATGCATTTCCCCTTTTTCATCTCAAGCAGTTGTGGTCAAGAGCCGCGTAAGCACGCGTCAAGTGGATCCTCGGCGTCTATGAGCTCTGGTGGTCTTTGGTAGTTCGGAGTGCCGAGCTGACTGGTGAACACGATAGCCTCGAAGCACAAGCGATGACTCCGTGACAGCTAAGGCTATGGTGCAAACAACAATAACAAGTAGCTTAACTTTTGCAGTACTCATCAGCGCATCCGGCATGCCGAGCAACGAAGATGTACGTGACGATGAGGAGAAAGAGCAAGACCCACGCAACGGACCTTGCAGAGCAAATGACCGCAGCAATAAATCATTGTACTACTGTATTACGGCATATTGTGTTTACTATATCTCCGCAATGTTGTGTGATGTTCTTGGACTTGTAGCACCAGTTCTTAGAACATCATGTAAGTACGGTATATGACATGTGTACTATATAATACGGTCATTTGTTGTACGCTTGTACTAATGTATCGTTATGACATTTTGGTATTGTTTTGTTGTACGCCTTGTTCACCCCCACGACCGGGAACCCCGCTGCATGGCACGCGCCATTCCTCGCACCAGCGTCAGGAGCTCTGGGAAGAATCGCATGAAGCGGACCTGCAGACAGTGCTTGCGCATACGAAAAATCATCTGCAGGCGACCAAGTGAAAAGAGATCGTGGGCTGAGCGCAGGGCCATGCCTCAGCGTCTCAGGGAACACAGCTCACACGGCCACACGAGTTCTCATGCCCAGCGGCGTGTCAAGCGCAGCAATCGCAGCAGACGAAGGCTTGAGAGGCCCGAAACGTCTGGGCCGCCTGACATGGGCTAGGACTGGTTGCGACGACACGCAGTGTGCCCATGTGTTCTGAGCCCCGTAGCCTTGGCCGAGAAGTTCCACCAGTGGCAGCACCCAGGTCTCCAGCACCATCAAAAGCACCTGACGATGAACAAAGCCTCCGATCTATTCGAAAATCCTCCGTCTTCAACTTTGTGCCAAAGTGCCAGGGCCAGGTCGAACATAAACCAAGCATCTCTACCTCAGGTTTGAAGTTACCAGCATATCAGTTTCCAAATGCGTTCGGAATTTGCCGCGGTTACCGCGCAGCCAAGTTGCAGCAGGAACACCAGGTTCTAGCTCCACCGAATCGGATAATTATTTCCATGGTGAAATAACCTGAGAGGTGAAACGGCTGTTGGACAGTCCCGATTGAAACCTGCAACCGGATCTGCAAACAGCTCTGTGGTGGCCAACCGCAGAAGCAGTTCTCCAGCACGATGCTCCAGGGCTCCAGGGGCAGCTTTCCATTCGCCATCAAGTTGACATGATTCCACTCCACATCCTCGGATCAGAGCTCGTGGCAAGCGAAAGAAAGCGCGTGTGTAGAGAACAAGACGATGCAGGACGCGCGGCCGCACAGCACGCGACTCAAGGACAGTCTGAAAGCTCCATCCGCCGAGGTGCTACAAACATCCACAAGGCATTAATCACAATCACAATGAGCGTTGCAGTCTCGAAAGTCTTGTCTTCTGCAATCCTGTCGTGCAGGCTTTGGAAAGAACATGTCGCAGCTTACGTCAGGAAGAAGACTGATTCAGAGCCCTTGGCGCTTTTTTGGTGTTGAAGCTTCTTCTTGTCTGACCTACAGGCCTCCCACCCTCTCATCTCTGCCCTTGTCGCATGCAGTCCTGGTCAACACACTGACAGGTACACCCTCTTTCGCCTCCTCCGGTTCTGTCTGCGCCTCACTGCAAACTCACTCTGCAAACTCCTAAAGACCCTTTTTCAGGCATACATTCCTTCACGCAAGCAGCAGCAGCAGGTCGGTTCAATGCCGTCAAGTTGCGCTTTGCCGCCGGGGCAAAGCTACTACGCCTCACAAGTGGCGCGCAGCATCGCATGGTTTTCAGATGTTTTCAGCCATGCTACGCTACAGCGGATGGCATGGCCTGACAGGTCATCCTCCATGAAAGCCGGAACCGCTGCGACATCGGGAACCGGTCCAGCCTGGATACCCACGCAGAGAGAACGGCTCCATCTATTGAAACTGCCCTTGGACGATGCGGCCAACGCAGCTTGGCTGAGGTGAAGGCTCTATACAGCCACAAATTGGGCCGCGGCCATCAAGAGCACATGGCTCTCTTCTTGGCGCTCTTGTTAATTATGTGAGTGGGCTTAAAGTTCCAGCATGCGCATGCACAAGGGCTTACATCTGCGTTACGGCTTCATATGCTTCATGTTCATAGAGCCGGACAGCTTGGCCACATCGTTCCAGCACGAGGTCCGGCAAATTCCGAGAGTCCGTGAGGCCACTGAAAGGTCTCCCTATGTTGGGCCTGCTCACAAGTGCTCTGAGCTATTGCACGATATGCCCCTCCTCGTTCTCTTTGATGGTCACCTTTCATCTGTCAATCATTTAGGTTGAGAGCTGACGTGCTAAAACCAGGGGCTGCAAAACTGCAAGCATCAACGTGCCAGGGGGTCATGGCTAGTGAAGCTTCCCCTAAACCTTGCTGAAGCCATTTGCCTCCGGAGGTTTTGCCATTTTGGAGATCAGCACCTGCCGCACCTGACAGTTCACGGCCAAGCCATGGGCCCGTGCTAGGAAAGGGGGTTCAGGAAGCAAAGTTTCCCCGTTCGGATGTTCATGCTGGGAATGGCTCGTCTTTGTCCGCCCTACACCCCGAGAGACTCCCAAACCTTCAGCAGGGCTTGCGTTTACGTGAGTATATTCCCCCGCCCACAGTACCAAAAAACAAATCACATAACCGAAGGGCTTAAGCAAAAGCGGAGAGGGTGCATGAAGGTGGCGTGGCTTTCGAACTCCCCCCCCCGATCTTGGAAGAGTCAAAAGCGTGGGGCTAAAGTCCAGCCACCAAGAGCCGCTGCCTCTGCCAAGACTGGGGCGTAAAGCTTCAGCTTCTCGCGTTGGCCTTGGAGAAGGGGTCTCTGTCATCTTCGGTTTTCCTACTGTACGCTGCATGGAGATTCCTGCTCTCATGTGGAGCTCCGAGGCATCGGCTGTTGTCGCGATAGGTGTCCATCAGCAGCCTCGGATAAGGCGCTTCGGCATGGCATCAGTATGAAGTGATCTGCAATGATGTGCAGACATTTGGCAAATCAAAGCGCCTGCTGCCAAGCCGCGGTGCCTGCATGTGGGAAAGTTGGGGTGCCTGATTCTCCAGGTAGACGCGCGCACCTGAACTGCGAGCTGCGTGAAGTATGAGCTATTGCCAACTGCTGAGTACCGCAGTGCGGCCAGTCAGAGTTGCCGTGTCAATTGGGACCCTTGCTGAAAGTCTGCCAGAACTCAACGCAGATTTTGAAGGTCTCCTGCGTACTAAAGGCAGCACTGAATTAGTACAGAATTGCTGAATCACCCTCACAAGCAAGACTACTTGAGTGTGGGTACGTCCTCGTTGGGGCCCATGGAGATCCTTGAGTGCCAGGCAATGCACGATGGAGTGCAAGGCCCTCGACATTTGAAATTAAGGAGTCGTATGGAGTCGTGCCTCACCAGGTAGTTCAAGGCAGGGATCATGTACCGGCTCTGGGCCTCAGAAGGGCAAGGAGCTGAGGGCCGAATACAGAGCGCCCTGCTCGTGCCTCCATTGCGGCCATATGATGCTTCAAGAAGCCGGTCAGCAGAAGGGCCACCTACAGCAAAGAATGCCATCATGCGCAGTGAGCTCAGCGAGCGCTTGGGCCACCCCGCCTGGTTGTGGAAAACTTCCCAGAAGATGCGCTGCGGACCAGGCAGGTTGGCGCAAGCCTGGCGAGAATCGGCGAGAAGTCATCCCGGGCGTGTGGGACGGGTGAACTGGCCACTAAAAATTGGTCGCACATCTGGCAACAATCATGCCTCTCATGCTGGCAGCCGCAATGGCATTGAAAGATACGTCAAGTGTTGGTCAAAGGAGACAAGGCAGCCTCATTGATGTTCTCGGGGAGCTGCTGAATCCTGCACGGCCAAATGACCACAGCCTCAACCCTATAGCCTGCTCTGAAAGATCCCTGACAGGAAAGATCCCTGAAAGGAAAGTTGCTGAATCGCCCAATGTCGCTTAATCTTTCAGACCCAAAGCGCTGCCGCGGAGCTTTTCAACCACGCCCTGGAAGCACTGGATGATCCTGAGCATTCCAAATTGAAACCCAGCCCAAGGGCCCCGCGGCGGCTGAAGCACTCTCAGGAGCGAGCTGGGGCTGATATTGCTGCACGCCCTCGTGCAAGCAGGCGATCTCATTGAGGCATCGGGCGCCTGGAAGGCGTGCGCAGGAAGACATGCAAGTGCAAGGAGTGCGACGCTGCTATGCCCAAGGTGGCCGCAATCCAGGCGGTACCTCCAGTGCTGACAGCTCGGCTTAGGCTTATAGCTACTAAGTTACTAAGTTATCCAAGACCACAAGCCACTGTTTCTGCGAGGTTCCTGTTTTGAGCCCAAGCATCTCTAAGGGGTCCCAGAAGTGCAGCAAGAGCATCTGAATGAGGTCGGTCTCGAAAATAAAGGCCAACCTGGCGACACAGGATGCTACAACACTCAGCATGAGCTTCTCTGTAGGTCTTCTGCGCAGCTAAGGCGCCCAATCCACTCCAGGAAGTTCGCCAGGGTGCCTTAAGGCTGACCGTGCCGACCCATTGAAAGCACAGAGGCTCGGCTTTTCAAAATGTCGCTCCAGGGGGCTGAGGGTGGTGGTGATCAGGGACGGCTTCACAGAGCCAGGGCTCTGAACGTGGCCTTGGACGTCGGCAATTCAAAGCCGACTTTGCAAAACATGATGTTACAATGTTGCCAGGACTTGGGGTGCAGGGGAGCCTCTGAGAGCTTGCGGGCACTTAAGGGGGTGGAACCAGGTCTCGGCCGTCACGGGCTACGGGCTGTTGCTCCAGCTGCCCTAAGGGTGCCGAGTGCCCGTGCACGAGGGGCAATGGGGGAGGTATTGGGAAGTACTGGTAGGGAGCACTGGGACTACTAGTAGGGAGCATTGGGTTCCTCACCCTACTCAAGCCCTACTCCTTCGCGATGGCATCGGAAGCATTACCTGTACGAATATTCAGCATGCAAGGGTGCTGCCATGGGGCTCTTGAGAATGTAACTGCATATCTCCTCGGTTCCAGCTTCGGCTATGGCTGAAGGTTTGCTTGCACTGCTCGTGACCTAGCTAAAGCAAGCCAAGGCACGTAAATGGCAGCAAACTGTGCATTCAGCGATTCCTTCAGCTTGACCACCTGAGGCCCAGATGGCATGGCTAAGCTGCCAGGCGTACCTTCTCCAAACCTTCTTCGACACCATCTGCGACTTTCCAAATGTGAAGATCTCCTCGCTCACCATGTTCAGAATGCGGAGGTTGTTTTCGCACAGAAGCCTAGGTCTTGCTCATGCCGATGTGTTCTCGGTGTTGTCTTCAACTGTTTAAAACTAAATCATTTCTAGCTTCTCTTTGGTCGAGGATCTGGTTGGTCTTGCAAGAGCCACAGATGTCTGGAATGAAGTTCTCCCAGGCGTGTGGCCACTCCTGGCATGTCTCAACATAAGGCGGGGCAGAATCGCGATGAGAGAATTTTGGGGGCTCTTTGTCCACCAGGCACTGAATCTGAATGGACGCTGAATGAACCTTTGTGTCTATGGTACACGCGTACGTCTGTCGTTCGTACGTTGGGGTCCTGCTTGACGATGTTCACAAGCGTCCTGAGACGAGGTCTCACTCAGAGGAGGCAAAGCAGGGCCGTGGCCCAGCCAAAGGGCTATTACACTCGTCACACTTCACCACTTCACTTGGTTGGGGCAAGGATCTCATTCAGTTTCGTGAGCACGTGCTTTTGCGTCGTGGCAAAATGCTCGTCGGCTGAGATCTTGATCACAAGCTGAACCTGATCAGCCGGGAACTTTGGCGCTGCAAGCTGCGAAGGCTGCTGCAGGATGCAGCAGGATGGGGTCCCTCTCAGGCTTGCGCCACATAGTTCTTGATGCCTGCCTTCCTGATAGCACAGCTCACGTCACTGTGGCTGGGCATAGCTCGGGCACCGGCTGGGAAACCTCTACGTCCCAGTGCGGAGGAGTTGCTGTGCGTCAGTTAAGACCATCCAGCGTGTTGAGATGACGTGTTCGAGCACATTTAACGCCTCGGAACCGTTCAAAAAGTGTTGTGTTTTCCCAGACGTAATGTGATTGCTCACCAAGCGGCGAAAAACTTGGTATCGGGACCTGGCAAAAGTGCGCTGGGAGTGTGTGCTCACCAAGCTGTATCGGGTCAAAGAAGGGGGACTGTGCGAAGTGGCGAGGATCGTGTCCACGGCAAACCAAGAATCTGGATGAGTTCGGACTTGCGTCAAGACCTGCGCCGCTTCCAGAGCAACCGCCGAATCACCCAGCCATCCTGACGCCAATCTTTCCGCGAGGAGTGTCGGACTATCCTGCCTCGTGCGCCAACTTGCGCTGCGACTGGTCTCCTAAGAGTTAACTAAACTGGTGAAGTACATAGCACCAACAATGCAGGAAACATTTGAACAAATGGCTTGGTGCAGTGCCAGAGTACATTAGTGTGACCTCAGCTTGGCCGTACAATCTCATCCTACATAGGCAAGTAGAAACGAGAGTCTGGTTCGACAAGCTGCTTCTTTTATCTTCTTTTCGCCTTGCTGCAGGGAGCACACGGAAAAGGCCAAGGTCGGCAGGGAGATGGCAAGGGTCAAGCCACAGAGGCTGCCCTAGGCTGTCCACCGCTGATGCCTCGCGTGGCCGTGGCTCTTGGCTTCCGGAGCCCGGCACGTCTGCGACGTGCGGAGCGTTGTGGAGCCCTTTGAAGGGCTCATGATGTCACGACATGCTCTGGGAGCTTAGCTTGGCTCTGATTTGTCTGATTTGAAATGGTGAAAGTCTAAAAGTTGCCGTTCTGGCCCTATGCAGGAATCTGTACACTAACCGGAGAAAATCATCCCGTCGCGGTTGCGCGGCTGAGGGAGTTTCAGAGATATCTGGTGCACGATCTCACGCTCGGCCTGCATCTCCTGAGAAGCATTTCCCTCAGTGCATCTGTGTACACAAGCCAAACGTAGCATGAGTCCCAATGGGTCCCATGCCCCACCACGCCGCGGTCCTCGCGCATGTGGGCCGGCATTGGCGTCCGAGGCTTCTGCTCGAAGAGTTTTTATCGTGCGCTCTCCGAGGAAGCCCACCTGTGCTCACCATTGTGCACTGCTGCCATTGTCTGTGTGTTCTCCATGTGAGTCTGATGAAGATCCTGACTCTTCCTGCCTTCTCCCAAGTCGATTCCTTCTCGAAGAAATTGCCATAGGAGTTCCGGGCGCGAGTAGTTCTCATGCCCTGACCGAGGCAAAGCGGCATGAAGTCAGCTTCGTATGTCGTGGTGTGCACTGCGAGCTGAAAGACTTAAGCATGCAGAGACGTTCTCTCGGTGGCCTTCTCTGCCAGCGACTGCTCCAGTTTCGGCATGGCCTTTGCCAGCAGAACGTATAGAAAGTATACAGTGCCCCGATGTTCCCAAGGCAAATTCCGCCACAGGCCTTGGACAGGTGGGGTTGGGATCGAGATCGCCGCTTTTTCATGCCTGGCAACGTTGGAAAGTTGATGCTTAAGATGGACGCCTGAGACATCAAACGCTGCCTCGAAGCACCTGTGTTTGCAAGTGGCTGACCAGGGCCTGCAGTCTCCCTCCCTCATCTGGCTTAATACTGGTGATGCTATATGCGCGTCTGACACACATTCCATTGCCACACAACCGACCTCATGGCTCAAGGTAGTCACATCTGAGGTATCCCACTCCTGCCATTCACTCAAGCATGAACCAAGTTTCGAAAGTGCGAGGTCGTACCCTTTCTTCGCCTGGATTCGCGCCGCTGCAGGCGTATGTGGCGTAGGTGCGCTGGATGTTGCTGTCTGTGGCCGCCTTGGTTAGTTACACAACAATCGGTCCGACCAAGCACTAGCGTAATCGAACTGCCCTTTGTTGCTCCCTGCTGTAGGCTGCAGAATCACGGGCCAAGGTGCAGCTGCGGGAGCTGTGTGTTGGAAAAGTCCGGCGTGTTGTCCAGGGTGTGCAGCAAATTCTCAAAGGCCCACGGGTACGCATACTTCAAGGACCTGCGCAGATTCAACCTTCTGATGATTAACCAGGATCGTGTCTGCCTGGCCTGTATTCCGGCCGCTTGGAATGCGGCAGCAAAACAGCCATCTTGCAAAACTGTTGGTTATAGTTGTGAGTTGAGGATTATGATTTTTGCTAGCTGCAGGCTTAGTCGGTTTCTTTCTGGCTACAGCTGTGTTCTTGTCCGAGTCAACAGCACAAGCAGAACCCAAATGGCTAGTGCAGAGATCATCGTCAACAGGTCCATGCAGAAGTGGTTCAAGGCAATAAGGCCAAGGGGCCATATGGTCCAGCATCTGCACCTTGCCTCGGAAGATAGATGGGGGTTGCTGATTCGGGATATGAGACATCCTCTGTCCAATTCAGCACCGAGCGTGCTATATTGCTGCTATATCGTGCTTAGCTGAAATCTGCCACGGAGCTGGCATCCCATGGCTCGCTGAAGCTGAGGAGCTGGGCAGGATCCTGCAGGGTCGCTCTTGTGACTCTTGTGGCGCTCTGTGGGAGGACATATGATGTCGAGCACGCAAAGCCCTGTCTGCTGTCTGAGCCGAGCGCAAAAGGCAGCCCCAAGGCTGTCATGGCCTTAGCAGCTCAGAGCTGAGAGGGCACTGCGAACTGAGAGGGCTCTGAGGCTCTGAGGGAATTGCTCTCACGTGCCATCCGCTCCGGACCTGCCCAGGTCATCGCAAGTGATCTGACCCGCTTCGCAAAAGCAAAACACAACGCCTGCGTGCTCAGTGCCAGCCCGCCATCGGCAAGTGAACAGTGCAAGGCCAACTGTAATAGACTTGTAAACTTGGCTACGTGCACTGGCATACTTCGAAATCGTGAATATTCACCAGCGGCCCATTAAACAATCGGAACCGCATGGGCCACGTCGGAGAACTGAGAGAATGCCGGCCGATTCCTGTGCAAAATCAACAAAATCGACAAGTATATAAGAAGCTATGGGAAGTGGATGTGCAGCCCCCCAGTGCCGGGTAACATGCGCACGTTAAGGCTTCATATCACTGGGTTCCTAATTCAGAAGGCTGCAAGCCTGCATGGCAACGGTATCAAGACATATCAGGACAACAAGGACGCGGAGTGCTCGGCTAAGGCTAGGCGTCTAAGAGATACATGATCGCTTCCGTCCTGCACGGCCACAGCAGCCACTCTCTCCAACTTACATGTCTGCCAACCAGCCTTTAAGCAACCGATGTTACACAATCTCGGGTGAAACGTGTGTGGCAGCCGTCTCCGGTGTTCTTTCCTGAGCGAGATTCACATGAGCCCCGGACGACATGGCTACTCCTGTGGATGCTGTGGATGTAGCTTGAACTAGGAATCCTTCAGGATGCTGCTGCTGCTGCCAAGCATCTCGAAAGCCGAAAGCAACTTTGAACTCATCCTGGCACGGGGCACGACGAAATCCGACGAAAGCGATGGAGATGCGAGAGCTTGGCTGCGAACTCTGTCCTTGGCCACCTTTGCAAAGTGAGGTGCAAGGAGCTCTTGAAGGCGTCTGCGCAGACCAGCGCGGTCGAAGGGCCGTGGGCTGACGGGCACAGTGCGCACGAGGCCTCAGGACATCTCAGTTTATAAGGGAACCCATGACTGGGAACGATATTGGAGGTCGTACATGCCTTGACTCTTCCACCGCATTTTCTGTGCAGGCATACGAGGGCCATCAGTGGTACCAACACCACCATCACATGGATAAGAGTCCGTCCAGCCTTTTGTACTCGAGCGGCCAAAAGTTATTCCAAGTCACCGCGATGTGTGTCGAGGAACAGGTCCGGATGCACAAACATACCTCAAGGGCATCATCTAGCGCACATCCGGGTCTCTACCTGTGCTTTGCCCAACTGAAACATCGCAACATCGCAACTTCTCGGAAGCCGTGAAGAAGGAAAGGCGACACGCGTCCAATCGCGGATAGAACCCTGCGACTGCAGTGCTTTTAATCGTGTGTGTGCCGTGTGCTCATTGGGTACTTCTCGCACTTCTTTCTCTTGTTCTCACGGAAGTAGCAAGCACGATTCCGTCACCATATCAGACCATATCTTTGTTGGAAACCTACTAGCCATTCTTAAGGCCTTACAAGTCATTCAGTGCAAATTGAGCCCCGTCCAATTGAACTCTTGCGTAAAGACCTCATCGGGACATTCCTCGAGAAAATAAAGACTGCCCTCTTCCGAATGATGCCATAAAGTTGATGAATGCAGGCAGCTCAAGCCTATGGGCCTACAGAACGAGAGAATAACGTGATCTGTCATGCTCCCATGTTCAGCAGCTTAACAAAGTGCTTTATCTCTCGCAGTGGCAGCGTGTGGTGATACTCTTCTTGTGTCAACTTGTCAGCCAGCTAGCAGTGAGGCTCTAAGAAACTCTTGCGGCCGCTCTTGCTGCCAAACCGCGTGCTTGGCCTTCCACCGGGCACTGCTGCCGGAGCCACTCAGAAACGGGAACTCCTTGTGGCGCCAGGGAGCCCAGCGGCTGTGCCCCATAGGCCACAGCGTCAAGAACCTGGAGATTGGCTGCACTATCAAGTTAACTCAGAATGGTCGAGGTGCCACCGAGTCTTCCGCAGATTCGTGGACGAAGATCTGAAGGACCTCAGGCAAGCAAATTCGGGGTTCAGTTCTGGGCTGAGGTTGCAAGAAAGACTTTTCTGATGCAGGTTTTAGTTGCTCCCGCTGCCTACAACAGTAGAAGTGTGCATGACGCGACTGGCCTGGGCCGAGCCGAGGGAAGACTCGACAACAGCGTGTCAATCAAGGCAAATAACCCAAAGAGTTCTTAAGACGCCTGCAGCTCCCACATGGCTGCCTCTAACTCTCTAAACCGGACTTTCAACCGAAGGCCCCGATTGCCCCACTCTCTAGCCTATAACTACATGTCATGTTCTGCCATGCCGCATGCCCGCGCCGAAGAGTGGGGCCCTTTGCTCCGGGCTGTCCTCGGGAGTCCAGGTTGAATGCTGTGCCAAGGCCCAGGATCTCGGGCCTCAGTCGGGAGCCGCGACATGCCGCGAATATCTTGCATCAATCAGACAGAAGTGTCTGTTCTGTGTGTTTATACACAGATATATACATATATATATATATAGATATGTAGAACAATACAATATGGTGTATAGTCTCATGTCCAGAGATCTGTGGAAAAACACATCAATATACATATATATATATATATGTATTCATTTTTATTTATTTAGTCCGTTTATGTTTTTCCATCATATTCTCATGTTGGCAGATCCGGCCTACCATTTTTTGCTCATGTGCCGCCAGCCCGCAGCAGGGTCGGCAGAGCGTCGAGCCCCCTCCCACTCTGCAAGACCAGTTCCTCGATGCGCCAAGCACACCAGAATTTCTGCAAGACGCTTCGACACATCGCCCTGTTTGCCGCCCAATGGCCAGCAGCCGGCCTTAGCAAGCAGTTGCCCATCCGGCTCTGTATTCCAAGCAGTTGCGCCAATGAAAAGACCCCCGGCTCTCGCTAACAGAGGCGGGCGGATGTCGGCGCTGACGTCATGGGACGTGTAGTAGCCGTCGATGAAGTAGTTCTCCAACATGCCTGGTGATTCTCAAGCTCATTTGCAGAAACAGCGCCCGATGTGGTGGATCAGGCAGCTTCAGAGATGTATGTACTAAGTCAGCTGCTCTTACCGTAGCCTCCAGAGGCAAAGCAGGAACAGAACCTGAGAACTTCAAGGCTTTAGGAGGCTTTCTGCACAGCTAGCACTGCTCCTTGGGAATATCTTGGTGCTCCCCAAGTCAGGCTCCAGCGCGGAAATGGACACGGCGCCTTCAGCAGTCGCTGCTGACCAACGAGAACTGCGAAACCGGATCGCGGCGCTATCGATCCTGTCCCTATATCTGATCCAGCTGAAACCTATTCTTGCTACGGCGCGGAACTCGGGGATGCGGTCGCTTGGACTGGATTTGCGGAGGTCCAACAAGTGTTGCCTGGGTCAGGGCATTGTAGTCAGCACGCTCTTGGCACCAAAAGCGTCAAGTTGGCTATCAGATGGCGGAGTTGCAGGGACGATATGCGCTCGAAAGGAGTCCTGCTCAAGACTGTCACAATACATCAACAGCTGCATCTAGCAAACATCTGGCGCCTGTTCAAGCGTAGCACAGGGGGCCCATCTGGCGGGTAGCCGAGAAACTCTGCAGCAAGGACGGCCTGCAGCCTCACAGCTACACTCATTCTGTCCTCTGATTCTGCTCTCATTTCAAAAGGCAGCCCAGCAGCTCATAGAGCAGACAGGATGTCGAGTAGCTGTGGTAGAACACGGCATACTCCTGAAACTCAACAGAGTGGCCCCTGAACAGTTTCAGAGACACTTACACATGACAGGGGCTAACCAGATCTCAGCTATGTCGATATCGGAGCACCTCCGAAAAGCGCAGCTCGTTCGCGAGCAGCCTGTGGATGACCTGCGTCTCACGGCACTCCCGAAATCACCGGCTCGTGGCAGGATCGTTGACTGAGACTCTAACAGCACTCGCGCAAGCCCTGCCGCTTTCATCAAGCGGCCGCAACAAGTCCTACAGGAGAGGAGCAAGTGACACGAAAGGACCAGAGTGGGGGCACATGAGGATGCAACAGCGTCATGTGAGCACCATGTGAATGACTCTGCCTGATGCACTCGCCTCATGTCCATGCGCCCCTGTAGCGACGTACAGCAGGAATACCTGGCCCAGTCTTCCTCTCCTTAAGACAGACTTGTCAACATGTCTTGAACGACTACGCGCAACTCTGATTTCCTCCAAGTGTCGCAATGGGCCCACTTCTCCAATCGGATCCTCTGTCCAGGAGCTGTCCACGACCCTTCTCTGAGCACTCTGACGTGCTCTCAATGAGCAGCGACAAGAGACGCACAGCCTGGCCTGGCAACCAGGCCACGGTGCGGTCTCGAGAGCTTCGTGCAGGTTGGGACTGGCGGAGTCCTCTTTGAGAAGAAAAACTAGAAGAGGGATGGCCCGAAAGCATCGATTTGCCGTGCGTTGACTCCATGCAGTTGACTCTTTGCAGCCAAAGTGTATGCGCTTGGACAAATGTATGCACTTACATGGTTGCATAGTCACTTGTACACTGCACTTGTCTGATTTGCGATGGTTTTGGAACCAGCGAATTCGGGGACCATGGTATACTTGCGATGCTTTTGGAACCAGCGAATTCGGGGGCCATGGTTTTCGCGATCATGGTTTTTGCGATGGTTTTGGAAACAGCGATTTCGGGGACCATGGTATGTGCGATGCTTTTGGAAAAAGCGAATTCGGGGACCATGGTATTTGCGATGGTTTTGGAACCAGCGAATTCGGGGACCGTGGATTTGCGATGGTTTTGGAAGCAGAGAATTCGGGGACCATGGTTTTCGCGATGGTTTTTGGAACCAGCGAATTCGGGAGGTTTTCGAGGCCCCGGAAGTCGAGTCCCATGATATTTGCGAGGTTTTCGAGGAATTCGAGTCCCACGATATTTGCGAGGTTTTCGAGGCCCCGGATTTCGAGTCCCGCGACATTTGCAAGGGTTTCGAGGAATTTGAGTCCCGCGATATTTGCGATGGTTTATTTGCGATGGTTTCGACACGCAAGCTCCGGGTGTCCGCGGCGGGAATGCTATTTGCGAGGTTTTCAAGTATGTCCGGAATTCCGCTTCCATGCTACTTGCGGTGTTTTCAAGCGCCCAGATGTCCGTTACCATGCTATTTGCAGTGTTTTCAAGCGCCCAGATGTCCGTTACCATGCTATTTGCGGCGTCTTCATGCGCCCAGATGTCCGTTACCATGCTATTTGCGGTGTTTTCAAGCGCCCAGATGTCCGTTACCGTGCTATTTGCGGTGTTTTCAAGCGGCCAGATGTCCGTTACCATGCTATTTGCGGCGTTTTCATGCGCCCAGATGTCCGTTACCGTGCTATTTGGGGTGTTTTCAAGCGCCCAGATGTCCGTTACCATGCTATTTGCGGTGTTTTCAAGCGGCCAGATGTCCGTTACCATGCTATTTGCGGCGTTTTCATGCGCCCAGATGTCCGTTACCGTGCTATTTGCGGTGTTTTCAAGCGCCCAGATGTCCGTTACCATGCTATTTGCGGTGTTTTCAAGCGGCCAGATGTCCGTTACCATGCTATTTGCGGTGTTTTCAAGCGGCCAGATGTCCGTTACCATGCTATTTGCGGTGTTTTCAGACGCCCAGGGCGTCCGCGGCGTACTATACGTCTGTACTACAAAAAGTCGACTTTCCAGCCACGGAAGCTCCGCGTGTGCGCGGCGTACTACGTGAGTACTACAAAAAGTCGACTTTCCAGCCACGGAAGCTCCGGGCGTCCCCGGCGTACTATACGTCTGTATTACAAAAGTCGACTTTCCAGCCACGGAAGCTCCGCGTGTGCGCGGCGTACTACGTTTGTACTACAAAAGTCGATTTTCCAGCCACGGAAACTCCGGGCGCCCCCGGCATACTATACGTCTGTACTACAAAAGTCGACTTTCCAGCTACGGAAGCTCCGCGTGTCCGCGGCGTACTACGTTTGTACTACAAAAAATCGACTTTCCCAGCCACGGAAGCTCCGGGCGTCCCCGGCGTACTATACGTCTGTACTACAAAAGTCGACTTTCCAGCTACGGAAGCTCCGCGTGTCCGCGGCGTACTACGTTTGTACTACAAAAGTCGACTTTCCAGCCACGGAAGCTCCGCGGGCGTCCCCTGCGTACTACATTTGTACTACAAAACTCGATTTTCCAGCCACGGAAGTCCCCGGCGTACTACGTCTGTACTACACAAGTCGAAAAACAAACGCAAAAAACGCAAAAAAACACTACGGTTTTAGCGCCGCGACCACGCGAAAACCCGCAGAGGGGTTACGTTTGCATGACAAGAAACGCAAAAACACGAGGGTTTTGGCACCGCGCCAACGCCGCAACCCGCAGAGGGGTTACGTTTGTTTGTCAAAAAAGGCCAAAACACGATGGTTTTGGCACCGCGCCAACGCCGAAACCCGCAGAGGGTTGTCTGCGGCCACGGAAAAAAGTTCCAAAAACGACGGTTTTAGCGCCGCGACCCGGCGATCACCCGCAGAGGGTTGTCCGCGGACACAAAGAAACGTAAAAAAACGACGGTTTTGGCACCGCGACCACGCCGAAACCCGCAGAGGGTTGTCCGCGCAAATCAAGAAACGTAAAAAAACGACGGTTTTAGCACCGCGACCACGCCGAAACCCGCAGAGGGTTGTCCGCGCAAATCAAGAAACGTAAAAAAACGACGGTTTTAGCACCGCGACCACGCCGAAACCCGCAGAGGGTTGCAATCCCGATTGGCGATGTCAACCCAGCCCGCCGCCTTAGAAAGAGTAATTTTAAATCTAGGACTGGGTACGAAGGTCTAGTAAATTCTACGTAAATCTAGAAATTTGTATTCACTGATCCCTAAACTCTATGCAATTCACTCTATGCAATTCACTCTATGCACTTCACTCTATGCACTTCACTCTATGCACTTCACTCTATGCACTTCACTCTATGCACTTCAGTCTATGCACTTCAGTCTATGCACTTCAGTCTATGTTGTTGTGTCAGGGGGCTCCGCACGGAAGAACCCTTCGCGATGCTTTCGGGAAAAGAACACGACCACAAACACGACAACCGTTGCACCAAAAGGGCAGCAAAACACAGTCGCTGTGGGAAAGGTACCGAGTTGGCGAGCCTGGACCCACGCGGTCCGGTACCCCAGCGTTCGTCTTAGGAGCTGAACCAGGAAGGCAAAAACCTCAGCTGTTATATGGGCGTTAAGAGAGCCCGAGCGTGTTTGAAGTTTGTGACAAGGGGCAGCTGCCAGAAGAGCCACCTTGCCGTAGCCGTACTGCCAGATGCGAGAATAGAGAATCACCAAGTTCAGAAGGCCCAGCTGGGCAAGCCCTCAGAACGTTGCAAGCCCAAAGCCCTAAGGCTCTAAGGCCCCTAAGAAGACGCAAGCTCCGACACGATTTGAAGCGGGTGGAAACAGAAAATCTGGGCACGGCCAAGAGACGGTTAACCAACCAAAGCCGTGCTCGTCTCGCAACCTCAAAGACGGCCCAGAGGTTTCCACAGAAATAAACGAATAGAGGTATGGAATGGTACAGTACAGCATGGATCGTCGGTTTCATCAGCCTATCATGTCTGAGTCGGGGCATTCCTGCATGAAGGTGGCCATCAGAAAGGAGTGATGAAAGGACAGAGCCTGGGAGGGGTGACGAAGTACTGCAGTCGAAGAGGCTGTGTCGAAGCAGCGGTACCGGCGCTGCAGAAGCAGTCGAAGGGCAACGTACAGATTGGCGAGGGTGACAACAAGCCTCGCGCTCTGCACCCATCGCCCAGAACGAGGTGGTACAGTACGATACCACTTGCAGACCAGGATCATGCAGAGTAGGTCCAGAGGAGTGTATGCAATCCTGGTGTCGTTAAGTTGCACAGGAACACGACTGAGAGTTCTCAACTCTTCTTGCGGCCAAAGCTGCGTCGTGAGGAAGATCCACACCATGAATCCCAGGGTGAACCTTGGGCACAGCTTCAGAAATCGATGGAAGACTGGACGACGCCAGTCACCTCCATAAGAATTATGCGAATTGTGGTAATCATGCTGTGGCCGCGGACAAGGAAGCCGGGAGAAGCAGCGCCGCTTCCAGTGAAATTTCAGCAAGGACGGCGATCCGCCCTTTTCCTCAGAGAACCAAAGATTCGAAGATTCGAAAGATGTCCCATGATGTTCCATGACGAACTTTCGGGTGTCCTGTTGCCACCAGCGCGAAGAAACCTGACAGAGTGTTTCACACACAGGCCCGCGGTATGTCTGCTTGCCAAACAGAAATAGGCGCACATGCCACTGGGATCCCCGGGTAGATGAGCTTGTTGATGAAGCCCACCTCAGAGCACAGCGACGCAACATGGGCCAACACTTGGGTCACTGAAATTTGTTTTGCCGTCGCAGTATAAGGCCCGGTCTGAAAGTCGCCGACATTTGGCGCAGCCAAAAGTTCCTCCATGGAGAGAGACGGCTACTGGCAGCGCCGCGTCAATCTCGATTCCTCGGTTCCCAACCCTTCCTGTGTAGCCATAAAGCCAGAACAGGGCCTCAGCTCGATCCCCCCCCCCCCCCCCTCCTAGGAAAAACCATTATGGCAAGAACCCTAAGGCCTTCACCTGCCAACCGCAGCTCCTCCTTCGCAGATGCGATATATTGCGGGTCGGGGTAGCCATGTCGTGCTGGGCCACCGCTCATGGACGTCTTCATGTGAATCGAAAAAGTTGGCCGCATGCGACCTGTGGTCAAAGAAGGCCGCAAACCGAAAAGCACACGCCGGCGGAAAGCCAGCTGGAAAAGCGCAAGGAGTTCTCTTCCTTCCTCGTTGTCAGGCAAATACGCATGCTGCGACCGTCCCTCGAAATCCTCTCCATCCACAGCTCCTCGCGGGAAAAAAAAGTGCAGCACCACCGTGGGGCAGCTGTACCCAGCCAAGCGTTGCTTCCGCCACTGCCAGGTCATCACCCCATCAGGCATGGAACCCACAGTATCACCGTAGGCTCTACCACAGGAGGGGCAAACTTGACGTGTCTCAAACCATCTGTTCAAACAGTCAGCATGGTAGCGGTGACCGCAGGGAAGCAGCACGCAGGCATCGCCCTCCAAGCAAATGCTGCACTCAACCTGAGCGAAACCATCAAAGCTATCGAGACACTCACGCACACACGGCCACACAGACGGAGACTCTTCGGCCAAACTGAAAAGCCGGCTGATTGTAAACGAGACGCAGGGTCTGGTGCAGGAGACAGCTCGAAATCCTCCCAATCATGGTCCATATAGCTACAGCATCGCTCAGTGGTTCCGGTTCGTCAGACGGTCTTTCGCTTTCTTTCGCTGTTTCTTCCAGTTTGATGCATTGGGGATGGTTCGGGGCCTTAGATGGCTCATGCAAATATGTTTTGAGGAATCCCCGGAATCCCCCCACTGCCTACTACTGTTGCCTCGAGCCACACACACTGCGCTCCCCCACTTCCCCCCCCCCCCCCCCACAGGTCCGCTGCGCAAGCTCGACGCAGTTCTGCAGCGTCGCGAGGCAGGATCAGCTGGGGGGCCATTCTGGGGCGTCATCCGGCGGGATATGTCGGATATGTTGCTTGCTTGATCATTGCGTTGTAGATGGTTCCCTGCCCCCGGTGAAACAACTCTGCAATGTGTTTTGGGATTCTTGGGCAGCTAAACGCCTAATGGTGACAGGGCAGGGATGGACGATGCTGGATAGCTAGCTCCACGACAATACCAAGCTCGTCACTGTAGTAAAGTGCAACGCATGTGCCGCGCAGGTCTGGAGCCCCATCCGACGGCAAGGCTAACTAACGACCCTAACGACCCATGACAGAACACACGGGAAACAGGTGCTTCGCTCCATTGGTGTGAGCAATGGCAAGTCTTTTGTCACTTTTGTCCACTGATACTCTCTGCTTCTCTGCCACCACACCTTAGGTGCTTTTAGGCACAGCCGACATGGCACCAAAGCGCGGCAGCACCTGAGCCCAGCGCAACTCCGGATGGCGGCATCGAGCGTGAGTTCGTTGGAGTAGGGGGCGCTCGACAGAACTTGCAGTGCCCATCGCCATGCGAGTGGGGACAGCACTTCGCCATGTGTTCCAAAAGCCTCCAGCGCTGCAGTGCAACTCACCACAGTTGGTCGCAGCCAGATTTCTTCCTGATTTTTCGCGTGGCCATAATCTTGCCACAAGCCGATGGAGACTGTACTGTAGGCATGACAGTAACATCATTAAACCCCGGCATGCTACAAAATCAGGCCAGCGCCACCCATTCCTGCACAACTCCTTTTGATGCATGAACGGGCGGTGCCAGCATGACTTGAAAACACATGAAACTTTGTTAACTGGGCCGAGTTGCAATGTGGCACAGCAAACGGCAGGCGACTGGCCACTCGCCTCCAACGCCAGACATCACAGCATTGAGCCCCATCACATCCTCAGTCGGGAGCATGAGCAATTTCAAGAGAACGCAACAGAAGCCTGCTACAGAGACATACATGTGCACACACATAACTTTACACATATATATATATATGTGTACATTTGTGTGTGGCATGCATGCATGCATGTATGTCTGTCTGTCTGTGTGTATGGTAGTACATACAAGGACGCGGTCGGGGCCCGGATCATCTCAGGATCCAGCGGCCCGCAGTTGGTGAGACGAGAAGGTCGACAAGAGGCCACAGGCAAGCCTCGGGGCCCCACACGTGAGACCCTGGTCGTAGGAGCATACAAAAGCCCCGATAAGACTCGGCGGAAATCGGCCCCAGATATCGTGAGATTCCATGAGCCCCGCATGTCTCTGCTTTTTGGCTCGGTGGCTGCCATGGGCTTGCAGTAGCGGCTGCCGTCGCTGCATTGAGGGTTATCTGGCTTGGCGCCAAAGCACGTTGCTCCTTCAGCAGGTTGTCAGGCTCACGCAGGCTACCTATGACACACAGCCGCCCCGCCCACCAGCATGCCATCTTCTGAGGCCCTCGCTAGGCTGGCGAAGAGATGCAATGCACGCGTCCATGCTCCTCTTGCCATTCAGGTTGCAGAGCAGCACTGACCCCTCAATTTCGGTTGCCTATGATCGCGACCCCGACGCGACGGGCAGCGTTTACAATTAGGGATTGAAGAAATATCAACTACGTAGCTAGTCATCATCAACAAAGAGTAGGGCGTCGAACAGCTTACTGGGCCGGACCTTTGGAACAGCTGCTGAGCGCGGCGTTGCACAGGATAATGTCCAGCTCCAAGGAGCAGCTTTGGACGTCGGCCAGAAGCAACAAAGCCGCCGGCCACTGAAAGGCCTTCTCGCAAGCGCTAATGGCTGCACTGAAAGAAATGGCATCGGGCAGGAGGACCTGCACCACCCGTTGACATGTAGGCCAAAGCAGCAGGTGCACTGCCAAGCGGATCATGGGATCTCAAAACGATGCGCTCAAACGAATTGACTTATAAGTGCTGAGTATAAGTCACTGGTTGAAGGAGGGTTGCTGCTTAGGACGTGTTTTGCACTGCTTTTGGGCCAAGCAGCCCAGTGCCAAAGGCACCTGAGCAGCTCCAGGCCCCAAGCCCACGCTTCTCCTTGATCGCTTTTCTCACAGGCACTGATGGCCGAGTTCAGGAAAGCCGTGTCTGGCAGCAGGGTTTGCTTTGAGAGGTCATGGAGGATGCGAAGAGCAACTTGCCATTGACTTCCATCCTCGCAGGCCTTCACCGCAGCGCTGTGGAGAATGGTGTCTGTCTGTATCTGCTGCACCACAAGGCTGTGGAACAGAAAGAGGGCTTGTTGCCACTCCCCATGCTTGCTGAATGCCATCATCAGGGTGGTATACCTCAGCTCCACCAACTCTTGAACGGTGCCCTGACTCGGCCTGACTCCTGACTACCATGTGTTACCATGAGCTACCTGTGCCTCGAACACCCTTGAACAAAGCTGCACGACAGGATTGGGAAGCACAGTCTGGCTGAGACGGTCGAAGCATTGAAGTGCCATCTGCCACGCTCCAAGTTGGCAAGAGTTAATCGCAGAGCTGCAAGTGTAGACGTCCGGCTGAACACGCACTTCCTGCATCTGGTCCAAAACCAATATCGATTGCATCCATGAAGTCTTGCGGCCATGGCTGATAAGGATACGGTTGAGCTCTGAAACTGTTCCACCTGGACAGCGGGCAGGCTTCGTGCCCGCCGGTGCCATCAAAACATTCGCTTTGCGATATGGTTTGAAGGCCAGGCAAGGCAAAGCGATCGGGTCCCATTGCAACACCTGACCCGCCAAGCGTCAGCTGCATGGCTGATGCATCAGTCAAGTGCTGCAGATTCAACTGCTTCGTCGCAATAAAACCTACACAGTAGAATCCGGAATCTAGAACTTGCAGCAGCATTAGCGGGCCGAACGAACGCTTGATCGACACATCATATCCACCAGCCTGAAGTAGGCTACACCGCGATGTGCAAGCTTGATCCCTTTGCTGCGGTCATGCCGACGTTCCAGACAGTATGCTGAGTCATGTTCAGAAATTGAAATGTCAGAATTGAACACAGGAATATTTTTAGTAACACCCCTGATGTGCACGTTCTGCGGCTCTTGCGGCACTTAGCCCCTGTCGAAATGACTTTCTTTTATTTTCCACAGCCCCTATAGGCTCCGGCTTCTCGGGTTGTGGTGCTGGAATCCGAGGACTCCATCACGACACAAACTCTGAGCCTCGAAACCCGCGCCTCTATGGTACTCGTGCAGTACTTTGCGTACGCGAAAAGCTCACCTGGTGTAGCAATCCTCGTGAAATAAATATGTCGGGTGGTTGGACATGGGAAGGACTCGTTCCTTATCGCGACCAGCAGGGCGCGACCACCGGCTGTGATTGTTCATGCTGCGTTGCGTGGCCTGACAAGCCCTAGTCTAGTGAGTCCAGTAGTCTTGCACGGTTTGGTGTCTATGCCATACTCCAAGTCGAAATGTAAAGTGATACACGCCCATGTGGAATCTCCACAATTTATAAGAAAGGAAGAAATTACCATATAGCATACTAAATGCTCACATATAATCCGCCGAGGCCTCGGGCCGGAGGTGTATAGGTTGCCTGTTCCCCCCCCCCCCCCCCTCCCCCCCCCCCCCACCCCCCCCCACCCCCCCCCCCCTACCCCTCCACTCCGACCCCCCCCCTTCCCCCTCCCCCCCCCCACCCCCCCCCTCCCCCCCACTCTACCGAAGAGTCGAACCCTAAACCCAATAAAACCCTCAACCCCAAAGCGTGAACCTTGAGCCCTAAGCTAACCCTCAACCCCAAACCCCAAACCATAAACCATAAACCCGGAACCCTCAACCCTCAACCCTCAACCCAACCCTTATTGCTTGTGGTCCAGCGACTTGGGCGCTGCGGAATCACCATGCTCACGCGGATGCGCTGGGCCGGGCCGAGGCGGGTCGTGTAGCGTTAAAATTACGTGTATAACATATGTATATATACATATGTATATATAGATTCGCGGATATAGCAAAACGCAAGCCGACGTGCCTAATGTAAGCACCGAATGTCCGCGCTGCCCAGCAGCAGAGACTTTTTGTTGCATCCCTTCGTTCGAGGCGACAGTTCAGTCAGTCAGCTCAATGGCCACGGCCTGGAGGAGATCCACCTGGAGTTTGCAGTAGCAGCATATGAGCAGCATCTTAAGCAACACATTGGATGTCGATGTTCTCCCTTCATGTTCCCCCCAGCCGGCCTCAGACACACCCTCCTGCCATCAGGAACAGGAATGAACAACCCCTACATCAAGCTCAAGGCCTTGTTGCGATACTTTACGATGCTTTCCGTCGGAATTTCTCCTTGTGGTACAGGTCAGCAAACTCCAGCGTCGACCTGCAGCAGGGCATCTTCCCCTACATTGCCTAAAATCCCAATGTTCTGGCCTAGGGCAGCGCTGGCCTCACGAAAAACCAAGGCGCGGCAATCACCCGGAAGTTCCACGGGTGGCTCTGCAAGAAGTCGTAGAATCCGCGCAGCTCCTGTTGCAAAATGCCGACCGTGGCTATGAAGATGGTGACTATTTGGCAACTCCATGCCCTGGCAGGTTGCCGATGTTGCTGTTGTTTGGTGATGTCAGTCACCGCCACTCCTGGCCCTCAAAGTGCGGGAAGTTTACCAGCTCATCCTCAGCACACAATCGCACAGCCCGCTGAAGCCGTGTACAATTCTGTGACCGTACCATCCGCGACGCTCTGCATATGCACAGCCCTTAGCACTTAGCCCCCAGCGAAAACGAGGATGCTTCCAGCACGGAGATAGGGTGCAAGCCCGTGGAGCACTTCCTTGACAAGAGCGTGTATTCAGAACTTCTGAGATGCTGCACCCAAGATGGACCGAGATGCCATAGCAGAGCTATAAAGGTCCTTGGCTTACACATGGACTTTCTGAGCTTGGTGTGTGAACCACTGGTAGTAGCGAGGAACGTCGACTGTATCCAAGCCTCCCCACCTTCTCTGACCTTTCGTGCCGAGAGTCGCAGTCCACATGAAGAAGCCGCACCCAACTGCTGCCGTGCCCTGCTTCCAGGCCAGCAGTGAATGCGGGCAGCGTCTCATTGAACCAGCCACCTGGCATCGAAGGCATCATCAGCTGTGCACCACTGCAACCACACATGCCGCAACATGCCAAACAAATCTCAAATCATGCTGGTTGCACGCACCAAGCGCACGTTGCCTTCGACCTGCGGCTCCTTCCATGCGTTGTTTAAAGGCAGTCGCCAACCAGTCCACGCCGTGTGTGACGCAGCCGATGCCTTCTCCAAAGCAAAGCTGCTCTGCCCAAAACTCAAGCCACCTGGAATGTCGGAGCTGTTTCGCCAAGCCTCCCAGCAACCGAAGGTCCAAAGGTTCTTAGGTGTCTCAAGGGCAAGGCCCGATGGCTGCCCAGTCAGCAAGGAGGGCTGGCCAGGCCTCGGGCAGGCCCCTGAAAGAATCAAAGCCGAAGACCAGCGCGCCTTGAGTGGTTTGTAGCGTGGCAACTTGAGTTGGCGGGGATGCTGCTATGTCGCTGAACCAGAACAAGGACCTGGATCCAGGATCTGCAGCCTGCGAGCCAGGAAGTTGATGCTGTCGCCCTGGGCCGAGACCCTGTCTAAGAAATCCGTCGAAGTTTCTTAGCCGGCACCTGGAAAACCCCGAACTCCAGGTACATCGGCTGGCCACGGCCACGGTTGCCCGCAGACATGTGTGTGAGAGCCTCGAACAAGCAAGAGCTGAGCGTGGTGAAGAGCGGAGAGTTATGTCATCCTCTATAAGCCTAGCAACCACGTCCAACACATAGGGAGCCCCTCCAGTGCCCCAGGGCATTTGCAGGGTCGGTGTCAACTCCAAGGCATCTGCCTTACCCGCTTGGCATGGGCAAATGTTTCAGCGATTTGTGTACTGAACACAATGAAGATGGAAAAAACACCAATAAAAAAGGTAAAGGAATAGCAGAGACAGAGAACGAAACAAAGACGGAGACGGAGACAAGACAGAGCGGACGTCAAGCTCCGTCGGGGAATTCTAACCCTACACAACCCTAATCCCAACAAGGAGACCCTTAGCAGACTGCAAGCTCTACGGCTCACAGGCACAGACCGACACCGAGAAAGCGAAAGAGAGAGAGAGAGAGACAGCGACACACAGAGGCACACAACACGAACAACATGCTTCATACCACACACTAGCAATTCGAGAACTGAATACGGCCAAATGATCAAATGCGCTATCCAGCCACGCTGAGGCAACTGCCAACATTGTCCAGAACTCAGCAAAAGTTCCCAAGGGCCGAAGACGAGGTCGCAGACTTGTGGGGCAGTGCTCCATTGGGTCCAATGCTCTGCAGCCGAACATCGATGAGAATCTTTCAGGACAGCGGCTCGTGCTGTTGGCGGCGAAAACGGCCAGCGAATCAAAATGGGGCCAGGCTTGCAGCAGACTGCACACACTGCCCAGTGTGCCTACTCCAAGCTGCTCTTCAGGAAGCCAGGCTCGGGCTTGCGAGGCTCGCCAAGCTCGCCAAGCTCGCCAGGCGCGGGCGAGTTCCAAAGCCCGGGCCCTCCGGGCCCTGGAGGCCAACCTGGTTTGCGCAGTCGCCGCGGCCCCCTTTGCCAAGCCATGCACCAGCTCGGCAGCGATGAAGGGCAGCGGGCAGGCCTGGAAGGGCTCAAAGAGGTGGGCCCAGCCAACAGCACCAGCTCCCACGCGCAGGCCGAAACCTCAGCTTCCCAATGCACTACCCCTTTGTTTCTCGCTTTAGCTGCGGTGCTTCCACTTATGCTTGGAGCCATGCCGTAGAGATAGTCGTCAAGGACGCGGAGGTCTGCTAGCAAGCCATCCAGGTCCAGGTTGTGATGCCCCGCCGCCCAGTTGTCCAGTGCCTGTGGAAGTGCCAGGCTCCTCGCGACCAAGTTCTCCGTGGGGCGACTCCCTCCCTCCCTCCCTTCCTCCCTCCCTCTCTCTCTCTCTCTCTCTCTCTCTCTCTCTCTCTCTGTCTCTCTCTGTATCGCTGATTCTCTCTGTCTCTCTCTCTCTGTCTCGCTCTCTGTCTCTCTCTTTCTTTCTTTCTTTCGGAGGGCGTGGAGGCGTCATCGCCCGCCCCTGTTTCCGGGCGGTACTCAGGTGCAGCGGAAGACGAGGTGCTCTGCCCCCAACCATTAACCCTAATCTTAAAGCCCCCCACTCCCCCTGTCTCTCTCTCTCTCTCTCTCTGTCTCGCTCTCTGTCTCGCTCTCTCTCTCTCTGTCTCTCTCTCTCTCTCTCTCTCTCTCTCTCTGAATAGGGATGGAAGCACGGAAGCTGGTAGGGGGATGCTACTTTCACGAGTCTTGCACGCGTGTCTAACCGCCCGCATCAAACCATCGATCCACACGGTCCTACTACAGAAGTGCTCATCCACAGCAGAACTTGCGATCACAGCCAGGGTGTGAAGGGCAATGCGCATGCCATGGGTCGAAGATCGCAGTAAAAGAGACAAGGACCTTGAAGGCGGTAACATGAAAATGTCAACGAAGCCCCAGTAATCGGCATCAGCATGAGTCAAGAACACATGCGAGAACCATGAAGCAGGGATATGAGTGCTGCAGATCGGGCGAAAGACCATCGGCAAGCGTTTGCTGTACATTGCTGTCCCAACGACACGAAGCCCAACGGCTCGGTGGCGGGTGCACCGTTGCCACACAGTAGTTCTTGGGCAGATCGCGTTCGACTCAATCAAAATTCAGAACTCTGGTAGACGGTGGTTCGGCTGCAAACAGCAGCTGCCAGTTGACCACTGCTACCAACACTTTGCTAGCCGCTTCTCGCCCGTGTCGGGCGGCGCCGTCGTTGAGCGCTGGATGCTTGCCAGGGCTGTCTCAGCTTTGACCTTTAAGAGCGGAAAAGGTTTCCAGCCGCCACTTCCCCCCTGAAGTGCCGACAAGCTGCACTCTCGGCCCGGAAGAGCTTTGCCTCATCAGGCCCGCACCAGCCCACACCCCTTTTGACTGCAGCGCGTATGTATGTTATGTGTATGTATATGTATATGTGTATGATCTGTATCTGTATCTGTATATGTATATGTGTACACTATTTCTCGCTCGTAGACAACATATACAACAGAATATCATGTCGTAGTCTAAGTACGTGCATAGATAGAGGTGCTCTGTAAATATTTAGAGCCTGAGCCATTGAAGAGTGGGCGCGCCTTTGGCTCCATGAGTTGCTGGAGTGCTGCGCAGAGGTCCTGCGAGGCAACAAAGCTTCAAAAGTCAGTGCGTGTTTGGGGTTTAGGGGCTTAGGGGCTTAGGGTCTTTTGGTTCTTTAAAGGGTGTTTTTATTCATTTTTTTTGGCTTCTTTTTGGCACCCGCATGGCTGAACCACTTCGCAAGGATTCTGGTGCGGTGACTGTTGGAAAGACTGCATGCCTACATCTCCTTCTGCACACAGACAAGGGGACCTTGAGCTAGACACTCACTAAACAATGCGGAACAACGTGGAAGGCAATGGGCATAAGTGGCGTAAGGGTTTCGGGTTCAGGGTTTAGGGTGGGTAGATATCTGCAGCGCTATCTCTGAAGAGCGGTCCGAGCGTGAGACAAAAAGCATGAGCCCCACGGAAATGGGGGTTTCCCATTTAAGTTACCGTTTCCATTTTGTCCACCCCCCCCCCCCCAATGGGGCAGATTATGGACCACCAGAATCCCAACCAGACGACGCAGTCTGACCCCCATATACACTTGAACATACAAAAAACCCATTGGCAGGCAAGACCACCACTCACAACTCCCTCCCCAGGGCGAGAAAATGGATTACTTGTCTTACTTTGATTTCAAGATCCTCCGCGGTATCATGCTCCGCACAAAGCTGCTCCAGTCGCGCAGGGGTGATTTCCAAAGCCTGAGCCGCAGAAGATAAGGTGGGTCAAGTATCAGCATCGTGCCAGCAGGCCTGGCCTTCGAATCCGCCGCCCCATCCAGGAGCAAGCTCAGTCCTAAGCTGTACTTCAGCCATAGAATGGGAAGATACGATCAACCATTGTGGCAACGACAACGATCGTCCACACTGGCCGCCGTGCCAAAACTGCAAAACCCACAACACTCCTACTGATGAGGTCACTTCTGAGCGTGAAAAGGCCAGAAAAGTGCGCAAAGACTGACCTTCGTTCAAGTAGCGCTCTTGGATTTCGCTGCTGACCTCCTGAGAATGGCTGCGCGACCGACTGTAGGCCCACAATCACGAAAGCACAATCTCCACAAGACTCCGGACCTGCTGGAAGTAATGGGCCACCATTCGGCACGCCTGCATGGCCAAGTCTCTAGTCGCGTACATTTCTGACTTAAGTTACTGGCTCTCATGCCGCGACTGCTTCTGTGCCTGATGGCCGACCATGTAAGTCAAGTGGAAGGTCTTGTCGATGCGGCCAGGCCGGATCAATGCAGGATCCAGCTTCTCAGGGTGGTTCGAAGTCATGACCTTGCCCCCCGGCCGACCTCTGCATTCCCTTTGTGCTAAATTCTTGAAAGTAAGAAACCCCAAGCTTAAAGGTGAAGTAGGCTCAGTAGACCTTGAGGAAACCATGATGGCAGCAAAGGCCCGCACGAGTAGCCGCCCAGGCCTCGGCGGTGCATGTTGTGTTTCGGTTCCTTCCGTTGACACTTATGAACCCTGCCTACCCCTGCCCCGCCGATTGGCGAAAAACTCATGTTTGAAGCAATGTGTTCGACTCTACTGCTTCCTCAGCAGGACGCGACAACAGTCGACATGCTGACGTAATCCGTTTGGTGAGCACAGGACTTCTGGCTGAAGCTCTAGCAGGACACCTCTTGTACGTGCAGAAGGTGGCAATCCTGGTCTTCATGCATGCAACAATGACCAGCCACCAAATATCACGACACAGGTTTCACCAAACAGCAAACCCAGAACAGAAAGATTCCACAAGCTGCCCAATCAAAGCCGTAACAGTGGAAGTGGGTCTGACTGTTAGAGAACAGTCAGAGCATGTCAGGGCCATGAAGTTTGCCAAGAAAGTATGGACAGATATGGACAGGGAAGAGTTGAAACTGACCAGACAATGAAAGCGAAAAAACAACGAAAGCGAAAAACTCGACCAGCCAGCATTGGACTTGACCAACGAGCCGAAGCCAATCGACAGCCAATATCCTGGCTTTTTGGTCAAAGTCCACTGTCTTGCGTGTTGTGCTGCTCAAGCATCAGTGGCTCTTGTTGACTGGTTCAATCGCGCTGTTCTACCGATTTCGCTGGCTCAAACTCGACGTATCTCGACTGTCCTTGCTTTTGTCGGTTCGTTGCACTGCAACGTGCTGGCTGCATTGATGGAAAACCAGACCACATGGAAGACTTCAGCGACTTCAGCATTCCTTGTCGAGACCAATGTGCAATCGGTTCATCATCGCCTATGCTACGTGCTACTCAAAGCCAAAACAACTAGCCCTGAATCAAAACCATCAGACAGATCAAGAGGCGTGTCCACAACTCCATCGAGGGTGTTGAGGATCCCTGCCAGGTTGAGCTGGTCGCCACCAACTGTTTCACCGGAGGGCCCAGCAACGCCGTAGAGCGTCTCACCTCCTGCCATTGCTTAAGAGCTTCCCTGAAGTACGCTGGCTTTGCGAATTGAGTGCTCGTAAGCTCAGCAGAGGTTCACTCCGAGCCTTTCTTATCATGGATCACATCCAGCATCTGCTGCAGGAGTTTGCCATCCACCTCTCTTGTCGGTGCCTTCTGCTCCCCGGTCCTTCAATCGCAGGCTGCACGGGCAGCACGGGCAGCACGGGAAGCACGGGCAGCACGGGCTGCACGTCGCTTCATGATTGCCGGAAAGGAAACTGCCAAGTTGCTCGGCGACGGCTTTCTGCTCCGTCTTGGCCTCCTGCCAAGAGAGCCGGGCGGACACAAGTTTCGCAACTTAGCTATTAATATTAATTACATATGACAAGTGACATGGACGTAGCTCGTCGTGCAAACAAAAACCTAATTTAGTACAAGTGTGGCGCTCCTCGGTCGCTTTCGGCTTCACCTTCCTGCAAAAGGCCCGCAGGCCGGAACTTCATAGATTTCATGGACGAAAACCCCCTCTCATTCTTTAGATCTCAGCATCGCCCTTTAGATCTCTCGTGTATAGGCTTCGCCGAGGCTCTCGGCATCCTCGAGCTTGCCTGCTAGCCTGCGCGCTACGCGTGTCACACGTTTCGATGGTCTTTGCATGCGTGCGCGTGCAGGCATGACGCTTTGCGCATGAGCTTTCTGTCCTCTCCAGCTTTTCCAAACGTTCGATGCGATCAAAGTTCTGCATGCTCAAGATCTCCTCACGGAGTGCCTCCTTCGACTGGTCACGGCCTCAAAGGGGGCTGGGGCCGGCGGGGTGCCTTGTGCGCTCGCAGGGTATAGGTGGGCACGGGCACAGCGCGGAATCCCCAGACCGGCTACAGAACAAAAATAATGTCAAGCAGACTATGATATGATTCAAAATATGCCGCAATGTTTGCGTCTTTCCTGCGTCAAAAGTTGCGCAGTCCGACAGTGCAGAGAAGTACAGTGGAAGGGGGAGGAGGGGGGGGGTCATGCCTTTGGCATTTTCTGAACTCGCCATTTAAGGCCGGGACGGTGTACAACGTGGGATGCGGCGTCGACATCCTTCAGCCCCTACTAACCCTCACAACCATGGGCCATGCACAATGAATCGCAAGCACCTCCATCACGAAAATGACATCTTTGATTCGTAGCCGCACCGGAGTTTCGATTCCTTCCACCGTGTACTTCTGATCAAAAATCCTTGGAGCCACCATATGCGCAGCAAACCGAGGGCGGCAGATGGATGGCAGATGTCCAACAATTCGGCGGCCAAAAATAAAGCAGCAGAGCTGCAGCTGCATCAACTCCGTGTTGGTCTTGATGCGTGCCAGAGGCACATTGACGATGGAACGCTCGGTGTGCTGTGCCTTTACACGGCACAAGAAGCACCGAGATGCTTTTTGAGCGCAATGCACAGGAAAATCGAAACCGAAGGGAACCAGGGAGCCAGCAAGGACTTTGATCAAACTGGTTTTGCCTTCCAGCATCCAGAATGCATTAAGTGCTTTCGCTGCTACTCAAATTGGGACTGCCCTGTGCTCTCCTGTGCCCGGAGGTCCGTAGAGCAGCAGCCCTAGCTTGTGAGGGTAGCCCGGGATGCCATACCTCAGATTTTTATGGGAGACCCGCGCACCCACCCCCAACAAAATGGAAGATGGTCTCGATGCGCAGAATGCATAGAAGCGCCTAAATTCAAGCTTCTAGGGACTTTCCGATGAACCCATTATAATGCGCTTGGCTTTCACACAACCAAGGGAAGCCTTTGTGTTACAGTGGGCTTGCGGACCGGATGGAAACCCATTCAAAAGCTGAAGAGACTCTAGACAAAAGCACACGCATGAAACGTAAGCTTGACAAGGAACTTGCCAGTTCGGTGGTTGAAGTGGTCCAAGATCTGCACTAATGCATCCTGGGTAGCGTGACATGTGAGGCTGGGGAACTACGTGAGCTGAGTTCCCGTGACCTTGCCATGATGCCCACCTTCTCTGGAAAGAACAGGCTCTGAAACGACTTGTCCCCTGACCTGACTTGCTGACGCTCGCCACATGGTCGCAAACCAAGGCTATCTGAGCGTGGTGCAACTTGTATCTTCGGTACGATCTCTTCTCCGCATCTTCTGCTTTCGAAGGGATCATTTCCTCAAGAATAGAAATAAGAGAACTTATCACAACAGGGGAGCTTACCTACATGCGGGACATAATGCCGGACGAATCGCATACATGTAGCGCGACTTGTTCTTGGACTGCATCTTGCTTTGCAGTTCCAAATACCAGTTGTAAGCTTTATCGATGAAATCCACAACCTGCAGCAAACAAACTCTGTTCACAGGGCAGCGGTCTTCCTATCTGTCACGTGCCTGCTGCTCTTTCAATGACTTGATCTGCATCTCCGTGGTGACTTTGATGGGGATGTTTGCCTCGGGGCAGCCAGAACTTGCCCCCCCCTGAACATGATAAGGTCATGCACCACCCACATCAAGCTTCGGTGCATCAAGTAACGCTTTCTTTGTCTGGAGGCCGATCAGCTTCGATGATTTTCAAGAATATCTCCAGCCCGGGTTCAACCTCGATCCATTTCTCTTCGGGCACCTTCTGCGTGATCTTGTAGTATGTCTTCAGAAACCCAATCTCCGTGTTTTTCTCAGGGTCATCTTCGTCCCCGTCGTCATTGTCGATTTCCACTTCCATGTAATGATCCTCCAGCGACACTTTGGCCTCTTTGTAAGACGAAACTTTGTCAGCGATGTATTGCGTCAAGGCCTGGCACGCTAACAACAGAGAGATGACAGGACGCTGGGCCATTGCTGTCCCCTAGGAGATCGAAGCATCACTAGTTTGGACCAAAGTGCTCGCAGGAGGACTGTGGATCTGTCATACCCAGGCCCAGGGGTGTACAAGTATCCATCACTTCGCCGCATTTGCTGCACCTCACAGACGCGACGCGAGCAGACGACAGCAGTTGAAGCTTCACCGACCACAGGTGCAACCTCAATCGTCCGCTGGAAATACTCAGGCGGCGGTCTCCTGACGATTTCGCACTTTTACTTTTGCTCATCATCGTGAGGGTTGCCAGATTGTGCAAGCATGTGCAAACGGCCCCTGATTAAGACCGATAGAGACCATACACACGGCTCCTGAAGAACTTCTTCAATCTGGCCAATATACCGTCCAGAAAAGGAAGTAGGCTGGACGCTCCATCGAACAGCCTTGGTGCACAGCGAGCAGCGCCAACCGTTAAGAATTGAATCGGGGAAGAAGCGTTGTTGCATGTCCTTACCCGTGCCGAAAAGACTTTGCAAGCTGGGGCAGGAGCAACTTGAACAGCACAGGGATCAGCATGGCGATCCTTCTGCTCACAGCACGCACATACACACAGCAACATAACCGCGGCATGGCTGGACAAGTTGAGCGGCATCGTGTCGTAAAGCGCATTGCCACTTCTCCTTGCAGCCATGTTTGGTTGTTTCTGAGACTCACGCACTCTCGCATGCTCACAGCCAGGGCAGCTGCAAGCTGTTGATCATGGAGAATTTTGCCTCGGATTGTCCCATTAGGCATGTGCATGGCTTGCGTGTGCATGTTTAAAATGCCACTTGCCAACACAGTTACACCTTCCATATCAATCGGAGCTGTCATGGCAAACAGGTGTTGGCGAAACGGTGTCCACTGCACAGGGGCCACACCGGACAGCGGTGCTCAAGTTTGTACGGTTCGGGCACAAATTTTGGGCACTGGCGTAGCAGCAACGTTTGTTGCAAATTTGCATTGGCAAGTTTCAGGATCGGCTGCGTTCGGTTTTGGGGCTTGAACCCGGCAGCAGTACGGCATTCAACGCTGCATCAACAAGCTGCCCCCAACGTTGTGTGTCGAACACAGGAGGATTTCATGGTAATGGTCTTAATTAATTGCTTGGTGATATGGACAATGTGAATCTCAAAGATGCCCCTCCAAGAGGAGGTGACCTATATATGGTCCGGCGTCTGGCGTGTCCGGCCCCCCCCCCCCCCCCCCCCCCCCTACCTGACCATACCATTGGGGGGGGGGGGGGGGGGGGCCGACCCTCGGCAAAACCCGTGTTTTGTGAGTGTTGTGCCTTGGGTTGAGGGAGCACGCGTTCGGGAAAACCTATGTGTGTGAGGCGTTTACCCCCCCCCCCCACCTCCCCCTCCAGGTCTACGGTCTCTAACCCTAAACCCTAAACCCTGTCAAACCCCAAGCCCTAAACCCTAAACCAACCCTAAACCCTAAACCCTAAACCCTACCAACCCCCAACCACACCACAGGGGGGGGGGGGTTAACCCTAAAACCTTTCAAACCCTAAACCCTAAACCCTAAACCTAAACCACCCTAAACCCTAAACCCAAAACCAAACCCAAAACCCAAACCCAAAACCCAAAACCTAAACCCAAAACCTAAACCCTAAACCCTAAACCCTAAACCCTAAACCCTAAACCCTAAACCCTAAACCCCCTAACCCTAAAACCAACCCCCAACCACACCCAGGGGGGGGGGGGTCCAGACCATGGGGGGGGGGGGGGGGGGCCGGGGAGCACTGGATATATCGCCCGGTTCCGCGTATCGACCCCCCCCCCCCCCCCCCCCCCCCATGGTATCCCCCCCCACCAAACCCTGACCGTTAACCCTTAAAACACTACGGACCACATGGGGGGTGGAGAGAAACCCTCAACCCAAACCCCAAACCCTGAACCTAAGCCCTAAAACCTAAACCCGCCAATGAACCACAAGGGGAAGAAGGGCAAACCCGAAACCTAAACCGTTTCAACCCTGAACCGTAAACCCAGAACCTTGAGTCAAGATGAGCTCGGGTTCGTATTCCAGGACCGGTGTGTCAGCCAGCAACGAGGGCTCATACTCCAAGTCTGAAAGTTCCATGGGCACTGGAGTGCACTTCCCTACGACCCTGTACACCCTGAACCTCTTCAATGTAACCCTCCTACTTTGATGAGTGGGGAATAGCTCATTACGACAATGGCAGTCTGCTGCTTAGCAGCTGGCACACACCCCAAGAAGCACAAACCCCTGCCAGCACACACCCGACTTCTGAGGGCGTTGCAAGGACAAACCAATACAAGGGGAGCAGTAGGAGCACAGAAGCGGGCCCCCGAGTGGACAAGAAAGCCAGCGCCTACTTCTGAGGGCGGCGCAAAAGCACAAACCTGACAGAAGCTCGAAAAGGGGAGCCTCGCTGGGGCCAAGGTGTACGACCTTTGGCGGCCGCAGGTGCCCAGCCTCCCCCACACGCCTCCACGACGAGTGGGATGAACTGGAAGCCCGAAGCGCGGCACGCGGCTAAGTGCGCTTGCGGACCTCGTAGTCCTCAATCGGCTTGCTCCCGTCGTTGGTGACGATTCGGAGGTTGCCCTGTTGGAGACCTGATGTGACGGCGAGGTCGAAGGCTGCCGGCCCCTGGGCCCCCCAGCTTCCGACCCAAACGTCGCCCGCCCCACGGCCGCCAGCCTCACAAGGGCGGGGAGGGAGGAGCCCAGGTTTTTCAGCCTCAGGGTTGAGTCCGGCTGCTTGGGCGCGGGCTGCCAAGAGAGACCGGGGCCGATTATGGCGCTTCAGGCGATCCCCTCCGTAAGGGCAGACCCGGGCATGGTCTGCCATGGTCCGCCATGCGGTCGTCGCACAAGGGGGCAGGCTTCATCTGCCAGGACTGGCGCTGACGGAGCATGACCTTAAAGAGTGCTGGGGCGACTAAAGCCTCTGCGGGTGGCGCGTGCAACCACGCACCGGCTCCAGGTTGGCGGAGCAGCTGAACCCTCCTGGTCCCCTTCACTGTTGAAAGTGGGGTAAACGGGAACTGCGTTCGGGTCTGCTGTAGCCTGCCTATCCTGCCTGTTCGGCTGTTGCTACCAGGTCCTGGTCAATCATATTCTCGGACACTCATCCAAATGTTACGTAATGGAATGCACTTTCCCATGCCCTGAAGTCTGGGCAACAAGTCTGCACCGATCACCATGCAATGGTTCTGCACCAAGTACCATGCCACTCGTGCGGACTGAAGGCCAATGGGCACCTTCGCATGCAATGTAAATTACCACGTGTTTTTTTTTTTTTTTTTCTGCGCACCTTTTTTCCCACAAGCTCCGCGCAGGTCCCGGTGCAGGGCTACTCCCCGGTTCAAGCTGGCATGCGGCTCGCGAGGCGGGCCCTCGGAGTAGCGGGCCTCTGCGAGGACCTCGCTGACGTCAGGCGCGGGCCCGTCGACGTTGTCGGTGGAGGCGGAGGGTGGCCGCGAAGGCCCGGGCGCGGAAACGGCGAGCAGCGCGGACCAGCGGGCAACGAAGGCGCTGGTGGCCTGGGCCCGGAATGCTGCCGGGCCGCCCGAGCCCGACATCGAGCGAGCAAGCGCACGAAGCATGCTGCTTCGGGGCTCCAGCGGCCTCCGACCTCAATAGCGAGGACGACGTCCAGCGTGAATCCGCAAGGACCTCATGCAGCTCAGGCTCACAAGGCCGCCGTGGCACTCCCCGTGCAGCGGCAGCTCCAGCAACGACGTTGCAAAGGCGCGCTGCGCCGCAGCGGAGAGAGAATGCCACTCCGGCGCTGCCCCCAGGCGCCGCAGGCGGTAGGACAGCACGTAGGGCCGCGGGCGCCCTCGACGCCCGTGCGCGCGCGAGTACGCGGACGAACCGGGTTGCCTTGCGCGACAAGGCGGCATCGGCGCGCCCTTTCCAGTTCAGGGTAGGTCTGGCGGCGCTTGCGCTGGGCGGCTTGGTCGAGGGCGAGAGCCGGCCGGGTATCAGCACCAGCCTGTGGCTCGCCGGTCCTGCCAACAGGGCTGACTATGATGGCATCGACGGCGAGCTGCGCACCATGCCAGGACGTTCTGGGCGATACGAGTGCCCGCCTCGCAGCAGATCCGCTCAAGCGGGATCGCCCGGGCGGGGAGCACCCCAGCAGTAGCGCAGGCTGCGCGACGGTCGGCAATGCCTGGGCGCCAACGGGAGGGGCAGTCGCAACCTACGCAGCAGGAGTGCACTGGGGATGACGACCTCCTCGTGCGTAGGCAGCACGTTGAAGGCACGTGAGGAGTGCGGGCCAGCCTGCGACAGCAGCAGCGCTCGGGACGCGGGTGACAAATGAAAGAGGTGCGTCTCGAGCGTGCGTTCATCGCAGGCAGAGGCCGCATGCTGCCGCCATCCACGTAGGTGATCGGCGGGCTCATCACCGCGCTGTGCTCGGGGCGGCGCCCCAGCCAGGCCAGCAGCTGTTTCCCATGCCGGGACCTCTGCGCACGTAGGTAAAGTGCTGCATGTTGCGCGGCCCGCAATGCCGGAGTTTGCTGGGCCTCAGGGGCATGGAGTGCCTGCAGGTGCCTGCAGGATGCGTTGCGCGACCTGAGGCGCTCGGTCACGAACAACACGGAGCGCATTCGCACCAGGAGGCCCAGTGTGCCGCATGATGGTTGGCCCGCAGGCCAAGGCCTCCCAACCGCGCCGCGAGTTGGGCTGCAGTCACGGCGTCTTCCGGCAGCAGGGCGTCCGCATAGCCGAGAAGCTGCACCAGGCACCGAGCAACAGCCGTGTCGTGGCCAGCGTATTCCTCGCTGAGCGCTGGGGGCAGTATTCGCAGCAAATAATTTGACCTAGGCGCAGCGCAGTAGCGCAAAAGCAGCCAGGAAGCTTGGAGATCCTGAACGCGCGGGATGCGCTCCAGCAGCCGGTCTTGGGCAGCACGTCTGATGCGGAGCTGGCGCTGCACGAAAGCATCGGTTCCGAGCGGGGTGCCCAGCGCGACGAGACCCTGTTGGTCCTGGGGCAGCGCCCAATCCCCGACCCAAGCCTCTTCCTCATCTCGCTTCTTTTTTTTGAGTTTATCCTTTTGATGCCGAGATGTGCAGAGAGGACGCTCTTGCTGGGAGCCTGAGACCCTCCTGCCGCGCTGCTGGGGGCGCCCAGTGTAATCTACGCTGCCGTAGGTCTGTAGGTCAAGGGGTAGTTGCGCTTGTTCACGTAGCCGACGTAACTAAGCCCTCCGGGCAGGCAGCTCGCCCTTCGCTGGAAAAAATTCCAACCGCTCTGCGACCCTCTCTGCACCAACCGGCAAAAGGGAGTGCAAGGAGGCTGGCACACAAGGCACCGCGTAGCATGCTTTACGCGCCAGCGCCACTTCCACCTGGGCTGCTCGCTGGTCCGCGCTCCTCTCTTTCGCCGCTGCCCGGGCGTTCGTTCGCCAGCAGCCTCCTCTCCCTCCCCTTAGCGAGCACAACCAACGTCTATGGGGTGATGCCGGATCTCAACGAGGTCCTTGCCGAGGAGCGCTGGGAGGCCGCCCCGCCCCAAGCCAGCCGTCTGCCGCTGATCCCAAAAGTA